TTCATCGAGGCCAGCTCTGTATTGGCCCAAGTTGAGGAAACAGTCGTCGGTGAAATGTTTGGACCATACAAAACTTTGGGAAGTTGTGTTGGCGCATTTCCAGAGAAAATAAAATTAACCCATTGTTTCAGAGGCTCGGATGAAGGAACTAAAAAATACTTTTGTGTTCATTTGTACATCCGAACACTGATCAACTGCCATGCTTCGTTTGTTTGCAAGCCATGATATCTCTCGAGGAAAAACTCAAATCGCGCTCGCGTGTTCGTACTTCCTAGCTCATTTTCTCATGGGCAGAAATGGTTACCTTTCCTCCGTATGACGTCATACGGAGGAGATTCAAGATCAGCCCGTCTGAGCCTTCATTTTCTCAAAGGCAGAGAAAGATAGCCAAAGCTCGGTTTACACCGATTGACATTTCTAGCCACTGGGGGACAATATACAGGCCAGGGGAACTCATATTAATTAATTAATTAAAACCTCAGAAAGTGAAAATTTCATGTCATGGGACCTTTTCTTAACAGGGGTGAAAACAGTCTGCAGATAGTTTTCCACTCATTTTCCTTCTATCTCTCTATGGTAAAGTAAAAATAAAGAGCCTATTTATTCTTTCCTTTTCTCCAAACTTAACCCACTATTGCACAATGCTGCCTAAGGGAGACAAACCCATTTTCTTCAGTCACATAGTGCATACAAATGGCAATAAAATGGTTAATAATGAAGGGATGACTTATAATAAAAAGCTATTTTTTGCTTGGTATATTTCTGGCATGGTACACTGTATGGTACACAACCATTACACAACAAGAGCTTTTGCTCTGGAGATTTGCTTTGAGAACATCATTTCATTCTCAACATTCTCAGCATTTTCAACCATCAGAAATATGATTTACATTTTTTAGTAAGTAAACTTAATTTTAAAACATTTAAAGACATTTAAATGATTTCTCTGTTACAAAGAAATGTGTTTGTGTCATAGAAGCAACAGTGAAATGGATATGAAAAATATCCTTTTAGTATTTAATTAACATTAACATAAAATGTTAAGTTATGACCCAGTACTATTAGTTTCCATGATGTAGCAATACAGGCACATTCACACCAAGGATGATAACTATAACGATAACTGTAACTATAGTTCATACAAGAAAACCGAATGAAACATTTTCAACATTGCTTTCATAATGCGTACAATGCGTGAGGATTCAATAATGCATGCAATAGATGATTCCCCCTACATGTACACTTCTGGGCAAAAAATAAATAAATATGGACCAAGCCAAAATAACATCTGATCATTCCTTGTGGAAAGCAAGCCATTCTGCAATATTCTCCTGTACTCCAAAGCATTAAATGACCAGTGTGGTAGAGATGCATTTATTATTATATTTCTCACCAGATTTTCAAAGACACCGCTCTGGAGCGTCACCATGCAACTTCCCATATTCTGCCAGAAACTTCATTCTGTCTCTGATGTTTTTCTGAGACAGCAATAGATTTTTAGTAGTAGTAGTAATGCATTTGCTTAATTTTTGCTAATTTCCAGACCAATAACTAGTGCCCAGGAGAGTAGACTTAACATTACTAGCACTCAGCTTACTGAACTGGTGCCAAGTGCCATGGAGACACCCAGCTTCCATACACATACCACACACACACACACACACACACACACACACACACACACACACACACACACACACACACACTATCCACATGACCCTCACAAAGCCCACAGCTAATTTAAGACCCAAGGGAAGGAATCATTTTCAAAGCCTGGGTGGGCAAAAAATACACTCCTTTACAGCTTTCTATAACATGTCTTAATGTCTATATAATGAAACATTTCAGCCCATGTTGTACACTGTGCTGTAATATTATTCCAGGAGGCCTGGCATCTTTCTTTTGGGCTCATATCTAATGGGGTAAACACCTTTGCTTGAAAATAGCCTTATAATATTTTAAACATGAAATATGGAAACACATATATAAATATTATTCGTAAAACCCCTTTGTGTACATCATTTGCAAAGTTGAGTATTTGTAAATTTCTCATTCACAACTAGCACCACTTCTGAGTGAGAAATGTGACACTATGAGCCATAACGAACAAAACACAGGCCTTAGGAAATTACATTATTTCTAAACTCCTTTCAGACCAGTGGACTGACACTGACCTAGATCTGTCTCTCTATCCACAGCTTCTCAGGGCTTATCACTGCAGAAACATGCATTAGTGCACACACACACACACACACACACACACACACACACACACACACACACACACACACACACACACACAACGAACAATGCCCAAGTCACTCAGATGTGATGCACAACCAGAGGACCCATCCTGTTAGTGTGTTATCAAGCAAGTGGGCTGCACCACCCACAATAACAATGAAGATGCTGTGCTACATCAGTAATCATTTTTCTTGGATTAGTGCTTTCTGAAGTCACATCCTGAGTGTGTCTACACCTGCCAGCATCTGTGTGGTGCTTACTGGATCAAAGGTCAATTTAAAAAAAAATTCTCTGCTGTTGTGGCCTCATTTATCAATGCCCCTTAAATCACATAATTCCTGATATCAGAGCAGACAGCTTACTGCTGATACAGTAAGCAGAAAGGGTCAAAATGTCAACACAAAACAAGGGAGGAACATCCTGTAATCTAGTGAACCACAAAAAGCATCTAAAATAGAGGGCTTTTTGAACAGAATAGGAAGAGATTATGCATTCGCTTTTAAGTATATATATATATATATATATATATATATATATATATGAAGACCTTATGCAAAAACCTCAATGTGACAAAGTCCGTCTGGCATTTTTTTTTATTAATTTTTTTATCAGGCTCCTATGTTTAGGGTCAGTAGTTTCAATTTAATGGCAATGAAATGCCTTATTTTATTAAACTAAAATGTCACTGATAGAGACATTTAAAAACATCAAATGTTAGACTTTTAGACTTTAGATTTTGCATCTGAAGTCTTCATATAGTTCAGACATGAAACTCTAGAGGCCGCAGGCTGATAGGTCCTTTACATGCAATCTGCAAGTAATCACATCATTACCTAAAGCACAAGCTGATTGGCCTCTGCTGATCCTGCAGCCATGAGATAGCTTGCTCTACATTTAAATATTCTGATCATTGTTTGTTGTAAGCTAGTCCTGCAGCGCACCCTCTGATATCCTCTACCTCCCTCAGCTCCACCTGCCAAGATTTGCTTCAGGATTTATTTATGTCTATTTGTGTAGAAGCAGCATATCTTACATGCTCAAAGTGTCAGTGAATCTGTTAGCAGTGTCTGCAGCAGCAGCACTACTCAACAGCAGCAGCAGAGCAGATCTACTCCACCAAGACCAAATACATTAACATTGCTATATTTAATAACCTGCTAAACTTATTCAAAGAGTTGTCATGAATGAAATATCAATATATTTTTTTCCCACATAATTTCAATTACATCAAAGATTTCAATTTGTTTTTGTCCTTATAATATACATTAAACCAAACTGATTCTCACAGACCATTTTAATGATATATTATTATACTCAGAACCTTCAGTTAGAATATTTTCCTTGATCTAAAATCTTAATCTGTGTTCATGTATATGTGTCTTTGCATATTTTTGGCCATGGACACAGTGGAGTGACATTCTGGGTTAATTACTCACACATCTGTGTTAATTACCAAAGTTGCTGATCCTGAAAAAACAACATCGACAAAGCAAACTGCAACAACTACATGCTAATATTCTGACATCAAAAGATTCCTCTCTGTTTCTCTGATGAAAATATTTCGGGAAAACAATATTCTCCTTCTCTCTTTAGGATTACATAAAAATACATAGTGATAGCAAATACAGATTCAATGTACAGATACAAATGCAATGTATTAGACCAAATGGATTTACAACTTTTCAGCATCATCTAAGAATGAGGAGAGTCCCTGATCCTCTCTGACCCCTCCACTGAACTTTGTGACAACAAAAATAGTATAAGAAATGACCCGCTCCCCTAGCTCCCTTAACCCGGGCAGAGGTATTTTAAGCTGTGGCGTACATTAAATCCTTTTTAAATCCCATAAAAACAAACATTGTAACTGCTACACTTCACCTCATCCTATCTTGCCTATCGGTAATCTCAAAATATTTTGCTTCAGATCTCTTGCAGTCTTTACTTAAAAGCTACAGGCTTTTAATGTTCTAATGTTAGTATGGTATGAAATTAAATGAAAAACAACATAGGAACACAGGGGAACATTATTAATGGCAGAGCCAAACCCCAAACTCACACTTATTTATTACTTGCAAACTGCCTTTAAATAAAAGAATAAATAAAATAATAAATGGTCCTTTAAGGATTCCAACACTTTTATGATTTTTCCATGACTTTTCCAGTCGTGTGTGATGAATGGATAAGGATTAAAAAAAACAAAATTTTATAGAGATCCCACTTACAATGAGTAAATATCCGGGCAAAAATAAATACTTTGGAATTGAGCATAAATAGAAACAATTATATTGACTATCAAAATGTCCATGAATTTTCAAGGCCTGGAAATCACACTTTTAAAATTCCCTGATAATTCCAGGTTTTCCATGGTGTGGGAACTCTGGTCATCATATTCATTAAAAAGAAGGTATTTAAAATTAAAATTAAAAAGATAGCAACAGAACTGAAGATAAATATATTAAATATTGTATATGAAAGATTAAATTATGATTGTTATCTGAACATTTTTTTTTTTTTAATTTCATTTAGATAAAGAAATTACTCTCTTTCCAACAATTTCCACCCATATCATACAGCAGGTTATAAATGCACGGGGCTTGTTCTGCATAGATGTGGTACAATTATACACCAACATATTATTTGCAAGGGTGTTTTCTTCTTTTTTAAAAGACACATGGAATATGTAGAGCATATGGCATTGTTGAACATATATTTAATGTCATCTTAACTATTAACTCAACAATTACTATAATACCTACCTGAACCTTCTGGAGCAAACATATGCATTTCTTCCTGACGTCTTCATAAGGACACCTTTTGGAGAGCATCAGGACATGGGCAAGAAGAGAGTTGAGATCACTGGACAGGGCATCCATGGCAGGGGGAGAGGAGGACTGTGGGTTCGGTATCGGCCCGATGTTCTCTATTCTCCTCATCACCTCCTGGTGAATGAGCTCCATCGCTGATTGTCTGAAGCTCGAGTCTCTACTTCCCAGAGCATCCCACCTTCCCGCAGAGTCTCTCACATCCATCATTGTAACAGTCAACTATTCTTCAGTTATATAGGGACACCTGGTAGACTGATCCATTCATAGGACAAAAAAGGTATGAAAATTATTTATATAGCCAAAACAATCCTAAACCAATCTTTCCAGCAAGCTGGCAAATTAATTCTGCAACTCCCTCTAAAAATGTTCCATATTCTGCTAATATAAACAGAACTGCAAATGCGTGGGCATGTCTTAGCAGGCATTTTGTGTATATAATCAATGTGATGAATTAAACAAAAGTTTTAATTTTTTTTCTGTTGTTTAAACAAAAGGACTGACACAATTTCAAAATGTCTAGGCAAATAATTATGCATAGTTTTCAATTTTTTATTTTAAAAAAACCCACTAAATATAATATAATAGTATACAGTAAACGCATTGTAAAAAACAACAACCGTTGAATGACGTTCAATCAAGTTCTGTTATTAGGCAACTTCGGAATATATAAGGTTACACCATTAATAAAACCACAGGTATGGTTAGTAATTATTAAGCGCGTACTATTATATTTTTGCGAAACATGTCAGATTAAAATACTTACTAAATTGACATTCTCTCTAGTCGTCTCTTTTCTGCTCCCGTTGAATGAGACCTTCCTGCGCTCTAGCTCTTCAGTCGATTTCAGTCTTTTGCACAGCGGCTTGGGTTAACAATTGATTGACAGGTACCACAGTCCAATAGTGTTCTAGATAAAACTGATGGGTGGAGACATACTCGCCATGCACCAATTCAATGATTAGAAAGGCGTTCCTGTCAGGCCGCGCCTCCCATTACTAGTAAAACGGGAATTGTAGTTCAGAAGGACGTTAATCTCAACGTTGTCATGGTGGAGCAAATGCAACATAGAACTACAAATACCATTATCCACAAAAAACATTGGTAACTGCAGGGGCCCCGCCACCACTTGTTTATCTCAAAACCCTTATGATTAATGCAAAGCTTTCACCAGATATTAATCTGTCTTATTCAATGAAAATATGTTAACTAATATCTAAAAACAGAATGTCATTACGCCTTATACTGTATGAGCAATGCACCATTCTTTGTGTCAAAGTTCCTCTATGAAGGCATCCTCAGTAAATATAGACCTAGAAAACAGTAGAATATTTTGTGTTTGTTGTCAGCCTGACTAATTCAGAAATATTTGTAAAATAAGTGTCAAATTTTGAATTTATTGTTTTGAAAAGTAATAACCTAAACCTTGAAGTTGTGTCAGGGTCTAGAATTACAGCATTGTCAAATCTGTATAATTTCTATCTATCTATCTATCTATCTATCTATCTATCTATCTATCTATCTATCTATCTATCTATCTATCTATCTATCTATCTATCTATCTATCTATCTATATGAATGTATGTCTGTGTTGTTTTCTTTTTTAACTAGTTTTTTTTATTGAAATCAGACAAGTATACAAACAAAACAGGCATCAACTGAACAATATTAATTGTTCAGTAACTGAACAATACACTACCACAAAGGCAGACAAAATAATATTTTTTGACAACAGTATTTGTCTTGAATTTAGAGGCTGTGGTCATTGTTTGCATGCGGAACCACTGAAGGCGGTAAAAGAAGAGGGAAATTTGAAAATGGGCGGCGCTTTCGGCTACAGCTGTTGTTAACATGACACTCACAGCTAATTCGAATGTACTTGGATGAATATATCATTCATTCTTATGTGTAACGAAGAAACTGATTCATAATGGATCACTTAGGAGATAAGGTATATATACTTTATGCTAAATTGTCTTATTAAGGCTGTTTTTATTCTTATCGATGTTTACGTTGACATTACATAGTCGTTAGCCTTATTAGCTTATTTGTGTAGCTGCTATTGAGTCTCGAGCAGCTGTTTTGTGTTCGTTAACCTTACGCGTTTATGCAGACACACAGCCATTCAACTATTTATCCAGGAAATATATCTCATTTGACTGTAGCACTACTATATCTGTTTATACAACAGTGCGGCTAACATCCTTTTTGTCAATGATTTTGGCATTTTTTAAAGATGTTGACTCAGTATTTATAGCTGCATTGTTATTTTTCGTTTGGTTTTTGCTAATCTGCTAATTATTTACGAATTTCAGAGTTTTAATCTAGACTCCCCGTCTAAACAGAGTTATGTTGGGAGTTTTTACCAGCCTCCAGAGACGCTGTCAAGGCGACTGTACATGAACACAATCACAGATCAACTGGACAAAAAGAGCTCAGGTGTACAGGACATCAGTCCACAGCTTTATCAAAGAGTACCTGATGCCGGAAGTAGAGGTAACGTTACATTGAGTCTAATAGATGCTGTATCCAAATATTTAAGACCAAATGTAAAAGTTTCCTAACAACTTTTCCTGCACTTGAGCAGCAGTGATATCCGCCCTGAAAACACTGCAGGAGAAGATGCGACGCTTGGAGCTGGAGAGAGTTCAGGCAGAGAGGAACATCCAACAATTCTCTCATGCTACTCGACACCAGGCAGATGCTTCTGCGCAGAGAGAACCGGAGAACAGCACACGAGAGAATCACTCCACACAGAGGAATGGTAACCGAAAGTGTTGAACAGCAGTTATTGATCTATTCTCAAAGTTCTTGGAAAGTCAAATAGAAAGTATGCACCAAGTAGTCTCTGTTACGTTTCTTTTCAGGGCTGGTTTCTAAGCTTCATTCTGCAGAAAAGCGTTGCTCTCAGCTGGAAAAACAGCTCGATTATATGAGGAAAATGGTGGAGTGTGCAGAGAAAGACAGAATCACTCACACAGACAGACAGGTGAGCAGGCAGACAAAAGCAAAAGTGCCAAGGGCTTAAATATGCTGTTATTTCTCATCTGTAAAATACATTTTGCATACAAACTTAAGAGTCTTCCAAAGCCCCTCTTTATCCCTCTCTCTTTTTCCCCCCTCAACTCTAATTGTATTTAGGAATCTCTTTGTAAGGAGAGCAAACATACAGACCCACAGATGCAGGTGCAACTCAATAAATTGGAAAGACTGGAAAATGAGTATCTCAAACTCACCAGTACACAGTCTGTGGCTGAGGTACACACATATACCTAGGCTATATGTATTATATATTCATGATATAATGATAAAATATACATGATATAGAAGTTTGGGAACATAATTTTTTTTATGTTTTTGAAAGAAGTATCTTATGCTCACCAGGGCTACATTTATTTCATTAAAAATACAGTAAAAACAGTAATATTGTGAAATATTATTACAAATTAAAAAAAGTTTTCTATTTGAATATATTTTAAGATGTCATTTATTCATGTGATGAAAAGCTGAATTTTCAGCATCATTACTCCAGTCTTCAGTGTCACATGATCCTTCAGAAATCATTCTAATATGCTGATTTACTGCAACAATTATCAATGTTGATTTTTTTTTTTGCTGCTTAACACATTTGTGAAATTGATACCATTCAAACATTTGTGATAAGATTAAAACATGTTTTATCAAAAGTGACAGTGAAGACATTTATAATGTTACAAAATATTTCTATTTAATAAATGCAAATAAATGCTGTTCATTGAACTTTCTTTTTATCAAAGAATCCTGAAAAAAGTACCACCACTTCCATCACCAACATTGATAAAAATAATAGTAAGAAATGTTACCTGAGCAGAAAATCAGCATATTAAAATGATTTCTGAAGGATCATGTGACTCTGAAGGATCATGTGACACTGAAGACTGGAGTAATGGAGGCTAAAAATGGATGCTCAGCTTTGCCATCACACTAATAAATTACATTTTAAAATATATTCAAATACTTCAAACTTCTTTTAATGTGTAATACAATTTCACATTAAAATATTGTAATGTTTCTAAACTTTTGACAGGTACTGTATATAGGACACAGTTTTCTTTTTTTAAACTGTGATGTCTTTCGTCTGCAGAGGAAGATTGAGCTCTTAGAACAGAAACTTTTAGAGGAGGAACATGAACGCAAACTTGTGCAGGAGAAAGCAGAGGAGGTAAAACAAAAAAAGACTTATATAAATCCTTATAAAAAGATTTATGAATCGTGTTAACTTTTCCCTTAGAAAAACATCTTTCATTAAAAAAGTATTTTTGTCATCTCCTTGACTTTCATCAGTTGCAGCGAGAGCTTGAAAACAATCTACTCTCCCTTTCTGCTGCGACTCAACCTAAAGGCAAGAAAAAGAAAGGCAAGGCCTCTTGCAAGGTAATAATGCTCTGCAGTAATGTATTATTTGTGAGCACTAGGTGGCAGTATATTTACAGAACAGAATACTACCGATGTAGTCTTTAGTGAGTGGTGTTAATGGTGGTGTCTTTCCTTTCATATTATGGCAGAAGGTGGAAACTGCCCACGCTCCTAAAGCTAAACACCTCCCATTTGTGGCTGGAACAGTGAGTATGACCTCATCCTGACACAATTATTTGGTAGTATTTATTGGTAATGATTTACAGTTTTAATCATATACAGAGGTCCAAATGTCTAGAATTACTGATGAATATGTATACATTATATAAAGATAAAGAAATACATAACTGTTCAAAGGTTTGGGGTCAGTAAGTTGTTTTTATTCTTTAAAATAAACAGCCATTTCCATCAAGGATGCTTTCAGTGAATCAAAAGTGACAGTAAAGACATCTATAATATATAATGTTACAAAAGATTTGTATACTTATTCATTTAGGAATACTGAAAATAATTTATCACGATTATCACAAGAGCTATTATTTTTACACCAAAGCTTTTACTGTTTTTACCCATTTTTTTTTAGCTTTGGTTAGCATAAGACTTCCTTCAAAAACATTATATATATATTTAATTAATAATTGTAATTAATGTAAATTTTTCTCTCTCTCTCAGTCGACCAGTCCCAGCCACTCAGTCAATGCCAATGTTCAGAGTGTGCTGCACATGATGAAGCACAGAAACCCGCGGCTGTGTGAGAGAGTGAGCGCTCTGCATAAGTCAGGTTCTGAGAACCAACGGGTCCATCGCAGGCCTCCGTCCTCCCCCAGCAAGGCAGCTTCCACAATGGGCAGCCTATCTGAACTTCTGCTCGCCCTTCAGGATGAACTGGGACAGATGAGCTTGTGAGTTACACCATCCTCCTGACCATGAACAGATCAAGATTAGCTGTTGAAATGTGTTGGCGGGGATAATTAGACAGGATTTAAATACTGTTTGTGTGTGTGTGTGAGACAGTGAACACCAGGAACTGGTCAAACAGATAGACGAGACCATTAAACGAGAGCTTCGTGACGATCTGGAACGAGAGCTGGACTGTCTGGTCAAAAGAATGGAGGAGAAAGCCGCTCAAATCACCCAACTGCGCAAACATCAGCAAACAGTGAGTTTGTACTTAGTTTTTTTAACTAATTATAGTTACAAACTACGTTTCATAGCCAAACACTCACAAGATGTGATGCAGGAAATAACTTAAAATCACACGTGAGACTGGGTTTCTTCTTGATGCATGCAGGAAGCTTGTTATCCAAGTTTCCTGTGTGCCGTTGTGCAGCGATAAAGATAAAAAGAAGAATATGAAGGACAGAATGGTTGCTTGCAGAAGCCATGCTTGCTGATGTTGTTGCAGGTGTAGGGCTGAGCAAATATGGGCAGAACTCTTTACTGCCCTAGTTCTTCAAAAAGCCTTTTAAAGGTATACAGTACATGTGAATTAAACGTGGCACAATGGCCTTCATCATCACAGTATGCTAATGCCTATCTAGTGCAAGGGATTTCATCAATATGCTGATTGAGGACTGTTGGGACACTCCAGGCACGGGATGGTTCTGTCGGGGAAGAGAGTCATTTGCACCTCAGTGACACGTCTGTACCATTTGCTTCACAGGACATATGCTTTCAACTACATACTGTTTATTTACTAGTGTGTTCTAATATGTAACCAGTGTTGGGGTAGTTACTCAAAAAAGGTAATTAGTTGCTAGTTACTTCTATAAATTGTAATGAGATTACTTTACTAGTTACTGCGTTTGAAAAGTAACTTCACTACTTATTACTTTACTTTCCCGTTTCTTAATTTATGGACAAATATCATAGCCCTATCATCACTTAGCCTGTCTACATAGTGTTTATTGTATAAATATATACAAAATGGCATGTAAAACCATATGAAAGAACAATATCCCTGTCTGCACAAGGAAATATATCTCACTGTAAAATCCACAAACAACAGGATAAAGGAGGCTATGGTGCGGTCATTTTAAAATGGGGTCAACACACAAGTTTTAAAACACAGGCTTTGGGAAACATGAGAATAAACTCTTCTGAGAACAAAACAAGCTTTTTATTCGACTCATGGCAATAAAAAAAAAAATGAAGTGGTCAATGAAAAATAATAAAATAAAGGTCACTTTTACATTTTTAATCTTAATTTAAAATGCATTTTTCTTGGCGATTCAATAGTCGGCAGGGGAAGCATTCCTCTACAATGAACCCTGCAACAAGCCTGTTCATTTTGTTTTGTGTTACCTGCTGTGCTCCAAGACTTGAGAAGAGTTTTTGTAACAGCGCGCGCGGCGCCGAATCCGAGGATGAACGACTTCAAGAAGCCGAATCTGCCCGAGCATGTAGCCTACGTCTCACCGTGACCGCACCGGCACACAGTTTGCGTGTCTAAATCAGTTGCTTATGTTTACAAAATGAGCCTACAATAGCATAATAAGCATTTTTAATAGAAAGATCCATGGTTTATAAAATGTCCACGAAATGAAATGTTTAGTGAAATTAGAAACTATTTAAGAGATCGTTGATTTAGTTCTATAGTCTACATACATGTTTTTATATCCACATTTTGTTCTAATGTCACAAGTAATAATCTCAGGGTTTACTGGATTTTACGTACACGATTCTTTTTGTAGTGTTATTGGTGGTGATGTAGCCTACTAAAATAAACATCGTCACGTGTGGACCTTTCTTCTTCTCACCGTTGATTCCTGATGGTTAAGAGGACAATTACTCGAGTCGCCCCGTCGTTTCACAGAATAGTACAATGGCGAGCGCGTCGAGTATAAACGCCTCGTCCGTTTGGGGAGGTGCGCGTGCAGTCAGCGGAGACTCGCGCTGCAGAGACCCCCTGTCTCCGTCTCCGTCTCCATTTCCCTCTCTCCTTCGCACCGGCAGCTATGTCACTCAAATCGATCTTTATGGCAACGGTGCGCACGCACCACTAGACAGAACTTTACACACAAGCAAACACGGCTTGGGTAACGCAGGAAAGCGCGTTCCTATAGTATAGTAAAGTAGTGTAGTTACCGATATTTTTAGTGTAATGCGTTACTTTACTTCGTTACCCAAAAAAGTAATATCGTTACTGTAATCCGTTACTTTGTAACTCGTTACCCCCAACACTGTATGTAACTATGGTTGGTCTCATCTGACAGCTTAGAAACTGAAATGAATGGTGGTGAACTTAATAGAGATATTAAAGGTGACCTATAGTTCAAAATTGAATTTACCTTGGTATAGTCAAATAACAAGAGTTCAGTGCATGGACATGACATAGAGTGAATCTCAAACTGGACTGTTTTCGCGTTCTCATTTAATTCACGTTTATGAAAAACACCCCTGAAAAACGGTCGGTTCTCCACACAATACCGACTGTGACGCAATAGTCGGGATCATTAATATGTACGCCTCCAAATATTTGCATAATGCCAGCCCTCAATGCCAGGCGGAACTGCGCAGCCGACGCATGGCAGTTGCTCAGTGTGGATGTACACATGAACACAAAAGTATTTTTTAGTTCCTTCATCTGGGCCTCTGAAGAAACAATGGGTTAATTTTATTTTCTCTGGAAATTTCCAAACATTTCACCGAGTGTTTCCTCAACTTGGGCCAATACAGAGCTGGCCTCGGATCGAGCTACCACACTTTCTGATGAGTAATTGTTCAAGTTCAGACAGGTAATCTTTCTCTCAAAATCGTTCAATACTGTTTATGCATCAGTAAGTCAAGCCAGTGACTAAAATATCAGCTTCACATCGTTTCTTTTAGTAGGATGAAAATAATCGTATTTAATTTGTGAACAAATTATATACAGAAAGCGATCAAAGAACAATATTTCCACACAGCGCGAGTTTATCTGGACACTTGCCAAACTCGTTATGAAATCAATGACGCACGTTACTGCACAACGAAGCTCTTACTGTATTTACATCATCGTGTTTGCATTGGTGAAAGCAGAGAGAGTGCAGAAACTGCTTTGCAATGATTAGATCTTCATTCTTGCGATCAACACACAGTCATCTGCTCAATGCTCATCACGGCAACATTTTATGTGATGGGAATAGATCTAAATACTTTAAAAACATCTCACGATTCGTTAATCTCGATAGCTGTTATAGTAAAAACGTATAATAGCAGTAGTAAAAGTATTCGGGAGAGAGTTTCACATGTAATGCGTTGCTATTTCATATGCAAGCATGTCAGCCAATCACAGCAGTGGCCGCGGTTACACTGAATCCCACAGCAGACACGCCCCTTCAAACAGAGTGTTCAAATCAGAGGCTAAAAGCAGGCTAGGAAAAATGCCATTTATTTATAAATGATGAATATTTTTTATCTAAAAAACATACTAACATTATAAGGGTAACCCAGGAAACATTATAAAATAAAAAATAAAAAACATTCTAGGGCACCTTTAAAGTATCCTAATGTACAATCTAGGTACTATTGGTTAAACATGCATTGAGGAGAATATGTTAATGTTCTTCTCCCACTCATGTTTAACAGTGACTACGTTTACATGCAGCCAATAACCCGTTCAAAACCGGGATATTAGCAATAACCCGGTCGCGAACGGCCATGTAAACACCGGCAAAAACCCGAATATGCTCATATCCCGGATTTTAAAAACCGGGATATTATACCTGGGGTACCTCTTTTCTAACCCGAATTTTTGGTCATGTAAACGCGCATCGGCATATCCCCATAGTGATTTGTGTTCTGCGCATGTTCTATTCGCAAGGAATCTTGGTCTTTTGAGTAGAGAAACTTCTCGGCGCATACAAAACCCCGCGTGCAGTATACCGGAAGTAAACATGGCGAGACGCAGCACAGCATACTTTTGGAGCGAGGTCAGTAACGTTACCAGCACCAAAGCGCAAACAAAGGCGATCGCTATCTGCCCCGAACTATTCATTATCCGCGTGCTGCTGTTGTTGTTGTCTTTGGATACAGGAAGAAGAATCGGAAATGACGCATATTGCGTCTTAAGGTTGTCCGTACGTCCAGACGCTAACCGCGCGTCGCGTTTACATCGGGATATTGCAATTCCATGTATACAGGAGTAACTCTCTGCTTACGCATGTAAACGGGTTATCCCTAATGTTTCAGAAACCCGAATAGTGACCTTAACCCGAACAACCCGAAATTTGGCTGCATGTAAACGTAGTCAGTGCTTTGCTCAGGGTATAAGAAGGAAAGGTAACTTTTGATCTGGGAGAAAGGCTTTAACCCCGCCACTCCCGCACACCGGTGCGTAACCTCATACTACAAGAAAGGCGTTTACAGCCTTTTCTGCACAACAGTGCATTATTTGTTACAACTAAGTTTTCTATACAGTATGTTATTCCATTCTACTGTCTGTATATTTAAACATGTAACTTAATAAATAACTTTGCCTGCTTTAAAGGCTTTAAGAATCTTTCCTTTTATCACTGATTAGGTTGAAAGATAAAGTGATTATATAACTTTCGTTATCTAAACGTTCAGGTTAAATCCTATTTTTTCCTATCAGTTCTAAGAAAGACCTTTACCTTTAAAGAATAAGCGGTTAAAGAATAACAACAACTTTAATGGAGTCAGATTAATTATATTGGAGTCAGATATATATATATGTATTATACACGTCATCCTTCAACTGCCTTTTGTTCCGATTATTGGTTCAAGATAGCAGCGTAACCTTCTAGCCTTACACAGGTCTATGACTCTTCCCCCTGAACTTGCCCTGTATCTCATTAGCTGTAGGTTGTCGCTGATTTAATTTCCAGTGAAAACACATTTCACACTGCATGATTTTGGGTGTCTCAATCAGCTCTACCTAGCTGCCAAGCTCATGAATCAGTATATCATGTTCACTAAATCGGTTACTGGTAAGGACAGTAAAGGTTCACTACACATTGGGACACTGATGACTATTTCCGGTGATGTGAAAACGCCCTCATTGTACATAATCACTACTGGTATTTATGAACAGCAGATCAGCAGAGCTGATATGTTTCTAAAATTACTTGTAAAGTTATTTAAAGTACATTATGATAAATACTTTGCTTGTTAAATATACGAGCAACATTTCATCCGCAAATGTTAGCTAGATTATGTTCATAACCTGTCTAGCGATTCATGTTTTTGCTGAAATAGATTAAAATAATGGTTTGTATTTTTAAAAACATCTATTGCGTGTCATTGTGTAGTGAGTCGGCTCACGTGATTTAAGTTTTGCACTTCAGAACTTCCTTAAGGGAACACCGTGAGCATAGATGCTCCCTGGTTTTCATGGTGCATTGTTGGACTTTTTAGGGTGCGAACGTTTCAGTGCACTGGAAAGATTCTGCGCTTGAAACAGCCCTTAAAATGGCAGACTCTCTGATCAGTGCCCTGACTATGCACCCTCTGAGCCACAGACAGGTCCAGATATTTAGCATGCTAAATATTTCACGGGCATTGGCGATGCCAATGTACTCCTGGACCAGGGTTGGGAACCATAGCAAATAACCAATACACAAGCTGCTCTGTCTAAATGTATGTTTTTGCTCCTGTAGGTTCAGAAACTCTCCCAGCCATCCTGTAGCCCCAAGCAGAAGCAGCAGAAGCCACATCGGACCGCCAGTATAGAGGGAAAAACAAGGGCACAGAGTGGTGTACAACCATTGCCACCATCTCCTGTCAAAGCCTCACCCAGCACGGGTCAGAAACAGAGCAGGAGCAGTCATGAGTCCCTGAAGCTCCTCAGAGAGACACAGAAGCTGTGTTCTAGCCTCCGCAGACAAGACATCACATGGGAGACGTAGTTATATTATCCTGAAACACACATCGCTGTTCAAGAGGACACTGGAATGATGCCCTCAGAAGATCACAAAACACTGATTCATCTGCGCCTACATCCAGGAAGCCTTTATAGCTTTCCATGACTTTAATGAGCTTAATTGATTTTTATTTCTGTTTTGTTTGAACAAGTTGTAAATAAAATATCTACGTATGTTTTAAAGTACAGAGACCAACTTGGGGTTTTAATCTGCAGTTTATTTGCAAGCTGATCTCAGATCACTCTTCACAATCCAATTGATTTCCTATGGATAAAATTAAATCCCACCCTAGATTTTCTGGTTCGGTATGCTGTTTCACCCAGAAATAAGACACAAAATAACAATAATAATAGATTTAAATTAACACTTATTTTTAGGGATGCACGATGATATCGGGACAACATCGGTATCGGCCGATAAAAGCTTAAAATGACCATCATCGGCATCGGCCGATATGAATATTTCTGCCGATGAGTCTTGCCGATAGGGTGGCGTGTTTCCTATGCGCACGTGACGACCGTTAACGAAGCATGACCGCCAGGAACTTAAACTTCCAACTAGGGGTGTGCCGTGCGTGCGTCTCACGGTTTTTGATCGTGGACGATTAAAATGCCTCCACTATCTGCTTTTGAAGAAAAATCATAGTATCGTGCATTCTATCAGTTCAATTCTGGCGCCTTCATCTCAACATACTGTACAACGCGACGTACATTCACATCACATCACATGTAAACGCAGAGGTAGAGTTACACTCACGGGACACCGCAATTCACAAAAGTTCATTGTTTGCATTTGGTCAAAGTCTTGCTAGGTAAACATGTCATTCACGCGCTGATGCGCTGTTCTAACATCCGCTTTTCTGAGCGCGTTACACCCGACGCTCACAGGAACTAAAGCCTGTCACAGCGCCTGCATACTGGACTAATCTTTCGAGTCTTATTGCGCTGATACTGTCAAATACACACAAGGTTTACATAAACAAAGTTGGTTATGTCTAAAGTGAAAGCAAACAGAGAAAATCTGCTTGTCAAATGCGTGTATTAGACGCGTCGCGCTACTCGCGTGCAGTTCTTAAAGAGACAGTAATAATATTCTGCCGCTTGTCTTTAAAGAGATACTGCACCCAGAAATAAAAATTCTGTCTATCTAATGTTGTTTCAAACCTGGATTCATTTCTTTCTTGTGCTTAAATATACTATGGAAGTCACTGGAGTACAGCAACTGTTTGGTTAGCCACATTCTTCCAAATAACTTTTATAATTTCAACAGAAGAAAGAAACTTGAGAGAGTAAATGATGACAATTTAAATTTTTGGGAGAACTATCCCGTTAATGTTAATAAAACAACAAAACACAGAGGAAATCACTCACTGCTCTTGACTGAGAACATTAATAGAAGCTTTAATATGCTTTTTTTGCACTTAAAAAAAAATACAAATATATCGGTATCGGCATCGGGCAAAATTAGTTTGAAAATATCGGCATATCGAATATCGGCCAAAATCCTATATCGTGCATCCCTACTTATTTTACACAATTAGTTGAAATGTTGAGGAGGCTTTTTATTTATTTCACCCAATCAAAGTATGAGAAAACAACACCAGGAAAGATGGGTCACAAGGGAAAAACGAGCATCCTTGCAGCATCAGCTCTTTCTTATGAGATTTACAGTCAGCTGACACATTGTTTCCTCCACTGTTTCCACAACAAAATCATCCCATTCTCTGACATATCTTATTACAACCACACTGTTCACCTTGAGAAACCACAGATGTGAAAAAAATAGTGACAAAAATATGTAAAAAGGGGAACAAAAGCATTCTAGGTGTAACCAGGCAGAAAAGATGGACTGTTCTGTTCAGACGGTTTTATTGGATTACGCTCTGTGGCACAGAACAGATTAAATCAGTATTGCATAAACTCATTTGAATACAGGAAACACTGGCGAGCACACACAGACTGCAATATTATTGATTCTTGGTGATCACAATCCTTGATTCTGGCAAGATGATGTCATCTGCATGTTTTTTGTGACATTTTGACTGGTTGTTACTGTGCATCGTGCACCCTTATGATCATCTTTTCAATAGTGTGTGTGTGTGTGTATGAGGAAAACTTTGAATCACAATACATGCACATCCTGTCCAGAGAAGAAATTTGAGGATTTAGTGCAGACTAAGCAGGAATGGAGCTAACCCTCAGGGTGAGCGCATATCCTGTTAGCTAAACATTGCAGAGTGTGTTTTAAGGACTGTTTCTAGGACACAGTTACATTGAAATAGATTAAACATAGTCCAGGGATAAGACACTGTGACTAGACTTTTGTTGTAAACTTAATTATCTTAAGGCTCTTTATTCTAAATAACATCAGCGCTACTCCACCCTTATGTTCCCTTGACTGTTTTCTAAGGTCCTCTAGGGCTGGTGTGTTTGTTATTCCCTGAATTCAGTTGATCATCCATGGGCAGCGGGTCTGAAATATTAAGATTGTTTCGGATTCTTGACACACTGCATTTGCTTTGTCCATTTCTATCTTTGTCAATAATTTTCTGTAATTGCTCTTTAAGCTGTATTCCCATTTGTTTTTATGCTCTGCAAGTGACCTTGGGTTCTAGAAAGGTGATCCGTTATTATACATAAACCTTTAATCACATATTTTTGCTTGGTCAAATATTTGTATATATATTTGTTAAACAGTGAAGAAGACACCACAGGTGCATGAGATCTTGTTCAGTTTTATGGTTTGTCTAAGATATTGATAATTATTTCTCTCTAGCAGCTTTTAAAAGCTTTTCCTTACACATAGCAAACTGATTTATGAAGTCCATTTCTAAAATGGAAAATAAATAAAGTTTGAAATAAGAAATAAAGTCATGTTGTTAGATGCAAAGTTACAGATAGGAGACAAAGTGACAATTATAAAAAATAAACAGTCACAGTTGCAAGATTTAATGTTGCATTGGGAGATAAAAAAAAAAATCCAATTAATTTGATTTATTTTACAATTGAGATGAGAGCGGATCTCCATAATGGCAATCTGTAAACATGCCACTGTAAAAGTGTTACTCTCAAAGTTTTCTTGAATAAAAAGGCAACATAAAACACCACCCACAACTGTTTTACATTACTCAAACTTTAATTAATTTATCACATTTCAACCTAAATGCGAATGCAGATCTGAAACGAGGGAAAACACAAGAACAAAAGATAGATATCCGAGTTCCAGAGAAATAAAACCAACATAATAGAGCATAAAACAATTAAGGCAGACTTTCTGGAAACAGACAAAAAAGTAATCAACAAGAGTGTTATGTGGGGTGTGTGCAGTGATTTATGAAAAGCAACAATAAATGCACAACTGAACAATAGGCCAAAGTAATTAGTTATTTAAAAAAAAGACATTATTAACTCTTTGTAATTAGATAACTAAATGTTGGCGCAAGCAAGATGCAATACTCCACGTTTCTCTCATTAACTACTCACAACTTCAATAATCCTAACCTTCACTCTAAAACGCTCAAAGTCTCTGAATAGAAGTCTTCATGACAATAGTAATCTTCATTTAATCTTAAATAATTAAGGCACTTTTTCCTCAAAAGGTGCAGAAAAGAATGCAACACTAGCTCAGGGAGCGATGGCAAAATATGGCATTGTTATGGCTCTTTCTATGGAAATCTGATGCATGCACACAAACATAATGGCATAAGAAAACAAGGCCACAGACTATTTAAAGTTAGGTTGAATTCTCTGAGTGTGCGAAAGGATTTGAGTCGTTCATCTATAAACATTAGCATCCTTCACGGAGCTCTGAATATGGATCTAAAATGGACAGTTCACCCAAAAAATGTAAATTGTCATCATTTTCTCACACTCATGTCTTTCCAAACCTGTACGACTGTATTCTTCGGTGAACAAAATATATTCTGAAGAATGTTTTAAGTGTTTTGTCCATACAATGACCTTTTCTACTAAAGAAAGAAATGCATACAGGTTTGAAATGACATGAAGGTAAAATATATATATATATATATATATATATATATAAAGTGACAATTGTCATTTTTTGTGTGTACTATCCCTTTAAATCCATACATGTAATATGCCCTTTACAGCCCTTTGGATGCGCAGCTAAAATGTGGGATCTTTGGATGTAGCCTGATGCTATACACACAATACTGTGATGAGTTGTGTAATTATGTATTTATGTAACCAGTTTTTAATTTGGCAAAGCTGAAGAGAAATGGCAAACAGGATTGTATCTGACTACACTACAGGCAAGATGAAGCTTGTGAAGCATTATAGCAGCTTTTTAGTGACTCATGCTAAAATAGACACCTTTGGCATTTAAGCACCGTGATACAGTATGACAATGCACAAGCAATTAGAGTGGTTCAATAAAGAGTGAGGCCTTAACAGTCATCTTTTGAGAAACATGCAGTTAACACAATGCTGGAAATCGAACATTTCGATGTTGGGATGTCAGAGAAGCAGAAGAAGGATGAAACTAAAGCACGCACCAAACAAATCTATTCATTTCTGCCATTACAATATTTGCAACCCAAATAACATGAATCACTTCCTAAGCCAACGACATTACGACTCGCAGAGGAAGTTATTAGCAGCAAGCTAATCAAGATTATTACATTTCAAATTTTAGAACACAGAAATGGGGGGGGGGGACAGGCACTAGGCCTATATACACGTACCAGCGCAATAGCCAGACAAATGCATTTAAGAACAGAGTACTAAACGAAATATGCTGAACAAGGCAATAATTAAACATAGTCAAGGTCAATTCTGCATTTAAAACAAATCTACTCAAACTCAATTTTTATATTCCAGAAATCACACCCAAGCATTAAATCATGAGTTTGACACGGCTCTACTCTTAAGTGTCCATCAAAATCTGCAAATGAATGATGTAGCAATACAAAACATATCCTGAATGCACTTTTCTAGGGCACATTTCAGTTCTCTTTAAGGGTATTTAACACAAATGCTCCTAAAAAAACCCATCAGGCTCTGTGTACAAGCCCGGTTACAACCTCAGTTTAAGACATTTCAGTGCCTTATATAAAATTATATTGATTTCAGTTCATGGTCAAAAAATTCAGATTATGTACACATATCAATCTGCTTTTGAATTGGGAGTACTAGAATCTGACTGATATTTCTGTGCAAGCAAGAAATGACCCTTGAGAACTGGGAGAAGCTTTAGGGAAACATAACATTAATCCATAATTAAACAAATGAATTAACCTTTAATTATCTACTCTGTATAATATAGCGATCAGTCCAGCTGGCAGACACTATCGATACAAGCACGCATGCGTGTCCATAAACACACCGACATACAGGCAGACACACTAACACAGAGCCTGGCCTCGACGGCGGCCCACCACGAACGCATTCACACTTTTAAGGCTCACTTTTAAGGCAGCAAGCCACTGCCTCCACCTAAAGGCACTTTGACTCAACCGTCAATCATTCTGAATGGGATCCTCGATACTCTGCCCTCACAGTGTGCCTCGTTCCGTTCTCATGTCAGGCAGAATGTTATAATTCTAATAACTTATTTCAGCTGTTAAGTAGAACTGGATTAGCTGAGGCTCTATTGTTTCAAAGCCCCATAAATTTACAACTTAAAATGGCCTATACGCTGGTAAGCCCACCACAATGATCCCCAATGAGGTCATGGGATGTTAACTAAGGGTATACAACGCATCTCTGACATTACCTAGCACTCCACTGTCAAAATTGTGGGAAAAGGGGAGCGAGATGCCAGGTTTAACTAGTTTTGAGAACTGATGTCTACTGGTTCTCTAACTGTAGACAGTTAAAGCTGGGGAATGTAATTTATTGCAAACACTTTGGCTCTCTTGGTTGGTATGAATGAGAGCAATGGCCAAAAAAGTGTTTAAAAAACAAACACCACAACACAGGCAGTCACAAACCAAGAGTATGTGATGAAAATGCAGAACAGGTTTGATTTGAAGGAAGGGGGTGGGCATTCATTCACTCCTAAACTAAACGGATATTACTTTTGCACTTGGTGAAGATGACTGGGTAGAATATAAAAAACCATAAGTCATGGCAACTGTATAAAACACTGTTCTAGTGAAGATACCTGACCATAGTGAAATTAACACTGGAAATGGGGGAAGTATTGCCACAGGCATGATGAGAAGATTCTGGCTCATGCCCCTTCTCAGAGGAAACACCCAGATATTGAGGGGACGAATCACTGTGTGGTCATCAAAAATGAAATAATTGAAACATTTAAAGACATAACTTAATTTGGAAAGTTGTGGTTGTTCATGAAAGCAGCAGGACACATTTTGCACACCCCATAATTCCACAGCTCAAAAAAACTTTTGTGAATTTGTGTTAACGAACTTGAGTGCTTGTGAGAGCTCTAATATAAATGAATTCTTAAGCTCCAATCACAGGCATCAAATTATGAGGCTAAACATGGGGGAATCACAAGAGTGTTTAAGAAATATCATAGAATCTGTGTGTACTGCTCTCTCTCTCTCTCTCTCTTTTGGGGTCGGAGTGTAGGTTTTGTGGTGCCGTGTGGGGCCTCCAGGTGGCAGAGAGTTACAGGGTGTGGTAGTTGCGATCCTTGGATTTGCAGAACTTGTAAAGGAAAAAGATGACAGCTTGAAGGCCAAGGACTAACACAATTCCCCCGATGAAACTGGCGGCATCAAATGTGGACGTCTTAGATGGAGAAGTTGTAGGTGACGCGGTTGATGTACCGTCTGTGGAAAAACAAAACAAATTTTCAGTCAAACCTGACAGGGTGAAGAAGTGTTTCACTCTCTAAGAGGTGCAGACATCAGAGAGCTGTACTTACTTGCGGCGGTCGCGTTTGTAGTCGGAGCTGAAGTGGAGGTGATTGTCGAGGAAGCGATTATCGTGGTAGCTAAACAGAAAAAAGTGCTGTTCAGATTCATAAAAATGCCAATACATCACATTTTTTCAGACTGCTCTTTGTTATAAGCTGATGTGGGTCTATTTTCTTTAAAGTCATTGTGAGACGGATACACATGATAAAATGCTCTATTTGAGTGTTTGTTTAGGTCTGTATCTATATTAGCATGTAGTAAAGGAGGTATCAGCTTCTTTCATAGTGTATAAGGGCCCTGAATCATTGAGATGTAAGTGGGCTTTAATTTTTATTAATCAATTACTTACTTTATTTTAAATTTGTTGATTTTATTGTTTGCTTTTTCTATTCATTATTGTTATCCGTCATTCTATTTAATGGCTCTTTATTTATATTGTATTTAAATGTGCTCTTTGAATAAAATTGACATTGGGCTTTGAATTAGGTAGTTATGTGTTTTGAGGTGCGTATGAATGCAAATGACGCGAGTCTGGAAGGTCGTACCATTGGTAGCGTTAGCGGCGGTGGGGCTCACTGTCGAGGTCGAGCTCGGTGTTGGTTCTGCAGTCCAGAGAAAACAGTCATCATCCAAACATACAATTGGTCAAGTCACAGAACATTCATATCATAGCTAATGAGCCAATTGCTTATGTTTTGGAGTTGATGAATGCTACAACCAAGCACTATTTTAGTTATTATAAAAAGGAGCTTGAGATAGTGGGACAGGACTTACCTGTGCAGGTCATATTCACGCAGTTGGCTGTTTGGTTATCAACACTGCTGCTATTAACACACTTAGGTACGCCTGCACTGACATCACCTGAAAAGTAGTGGAGACAAAAATAAAAACAAACTAAACAAACAAGACCAAATAACGCCAGTGTGCATTTTAACTGCAAGAAAGAGAAATTTGATACTCAAATATGGGCATCTAAATATCAACTGATTGACTGAAATATTTTAGCTGCACTAATTAAAATTGCAGAAGTTCTTCAACAAACGGCATTTTGTTTTATTATTTATTTGTGGTGTTGTTGACTCAAATAACCCTTGTACACTGGAGGTGGAGAATAAAAGTCACTCAACTTCTGTTAACTTGCTATAAAAAAACAGCAAGACATACCACATTGCTTAATTCAACACTTGGAATATAACAGTTAAAATAACGATTTTTCGATACACCTAACATTCCATCAGATAAAGTCCCATGACTTATAAGAAGGTTATTGATCCAGAAATCATAATAAGAAAGAGATAAAGAGAGAGTAGGAGGAATCAAGGAAGACTTTCCAGAAACTTCTGTGTCACAATCAGCTGGTTTCCATTTACCTCCTCCGTCACACATGAATAGCATTGTATGCAAGTATGACATACAGCTCAGCACTCAAATTCCTACTGATAGCAATAATTCAATTTTTACACATTGTTTCGAAATCCACTTTACCAACACCGTTTTCGTCCTCATGTTTGTCATTGACTTAAGTTCAGAAAGCCCTGTCACAATGGACTCATTGACTAACTCACGCACTAACAGATAATGTGTGCTTAAAACGCAAACATTGTCACACCGAAATCATATTCATTAATTATATTATACTTAAAATTATTTAAAAATAAAATACTTAACTGTAGAACCATTTCAAATCACAATAATTAAATAAAAACATTGGATTTGTTTATATTATATTATGAGCCATACTGTTCCGAATATAAGACAACCCTGATTATAAGACGAATTAAGAGCCGCTTTTAGGACGGCGGTAAGCTTTTCTTTGACTGTTAGCATCTGTCTTTTTGGGCTCGCCATCTTCTAACATTACACTCAGACTGTTTCTGGGCTGCTTAATTAGAGTTGTTTGATGCGTTTATTAGTCCTGGGGGGCACACTTGTTTTACACGTATTTGGCACTTGCTATTGTTGTGGTGTATTATTGAAATCTAGACCCTGAATATAAGATGACTCATTTTTTTTCAAATGTATTTCCAAATAAAAAGCACCGTCTTATATTTGGGAAAATATGGGTATATTATATTATATTAATGAAATAACCAAGTTCTCAAGTTAGGACAAAATCTTGTGTAGTCTTAGTTTAGGCCAGTATAAAAGATTTTGGTTGTTGCTACAACTTGCTATTGTGTGACTGTATATTGAGTTTGAGGAGAAAAGCGTAACAGCCTTCTCTTTCAGTATAAGTGTCCTTGATCGTCACGGACTTTTGAGTATTTTAATGTCATAAGAAGCGCTTCTCAGTGAGAACTGAGCTCCAAGAAAAAGCTTTAACAGGTGTGTTAAACTATATATCGGTGTATGAAGTAAGTACATTGTGATCTTTATGCACTCAAGACAGCATACACAGAGAAAGAAATGTCACATGCTTTTGTGAAAGGTACAACTCTCATGTTGAAATTCCACAATGACAACACATCAAGATGTTTTCAATTCCTTGCTTTCTGAATAAGTGCTTGACTAGCAAAAATGTCCTTACATTCCACACTGCTTCCCACCCCTCAGCAGTTTGTATGGACAGCAAATCAAATTCAGCTACCCGGCTCAAGTAATGATTGAAGGGAAATGCATACATGTTCATTACTTTAAAAGGACTGCACTGGCACTTTCTGGAGCAATCAGTTGAATGAATATGATGTCAACCAGCCCGCTTTTACTAGTTTTCACAGATTAGACTGCAAAACCTGCTGTTGAGATTCTATTCTTAACAGAACAGACTCAGAGTGAAAATCTGTGCCTCTGTCTCAGTACACGTGGCAATGAGAAGCGCCACATACTTTACTGGAAAGATATATCACATGAAAACTTCCACAAGTTTAATTAGTAAAATAACTTAGTACAAACTAGAGATAGACCCAAACTATCTTTAATGACAGATACAGGTTATTTATTTTAGCTTTAAGAGTCTAATAACTGATATGAAAAATACATGCAGTAAACTTAAAGGGATAGTTCACCCAAAAATAAAACTTCTGTCATCATTTACTCACTCATTGACTTCCATAGTACTTTTTTTCATAATATGGAAGTCAAGTTACCGACATTCTTCAAAATATCTTCTTTTGTGGTCAGAAGAACAAAGAACTTAATACAGGTTTAGAGCAACTTGAGGGTGAGTAAATGACAGTTTTTTTTTTTTTTTTGGGTGAACTATCCCATTAAATGATTTTCAATGATTGTATTATTTATTTATGTTATCAATAATAACTACTACATCCTTAGACTCAAACAATAAGAACATATGTACTGGTATTATACAGTTATAAATAACAATAATTATAAAAGAACAACAAAAGTATTATTATTATTAAAAAAGACTGTTTCAACAATCTGTAAGAGAAGTGAATGAAACACTACATATAGTCTAAGTGTGTGATTTTGGTGACTTTAAATAGAGCATGCTATGCTATCAAGTTATGATAATGTCAGATCACATCAGCAAAACAGGTATTAATATTTAACTTAGTGAAACGTTTCAATATTTGTTGTGCAAACACTGTGCCTTCCAGTTCGTCTCACCTTTCTTCTACACCCACACAGAGTCATACGTCAATAATTCAAACGAGTATATTTACAGCTCATGTCGCAACACATATATTTTAGCCTGAACATTGTTTCAAACAGGCCTCTAGAAACCATGGCTTTGTGGATACGTCCTCAAATTTGCAAACCTATTTCTAATTATCTAAAGAACCAGTACACACTAGTCTGCGCTACAGTAGGAAAGACCCAGATATTTCCAGTCTGTTGTTTGACTGAAAGAGTGTAAACCGATAGCATCATCTCTAGGGAGCCGATAGCACAATGCTAAAGCAACTGTCTTTGTTATGGGGGAGGTGCGGTTACAGACACTACACCTGCTCGAGCACATCAGACCACTTCTCTTTGCGGTCAAGCATAGTCTCATACTTTGAGACACATTACAGACTCACGGATTGTGGAGAATGACAGCTGACTTTTAATTTAAGATCGAGAACAAAGCCTGTGAAAGTGATTCTTTAAGGAAGTGGTTTATAACCATGTTGTTGCAGGCAGTGTACTATAAATTCTGTTTACCTTTTAACCAAATTACAGATTTTAAAAAGTGAAAAAAGGGGTTCTTTTCCCCCAGATTTTTGCAGGAATTGTCATTACTGTAATACAAACCTCTGTACTGCAATTTTTAACAGAATACTATGCATCATGTATAATAGCAAACAATAAAAAACTACCAATCACGGTCTCTGCCTATTTTAAATGTTTTAATCTTAGAATAGCCAAGGATCTTTTAAAGTTATCTGGTAGCAGGTATCTCTCCTACTATGTCAGGGCTCGACAGTGCGAACGTTTCATTCGCATTTGCCACTAAAAATGTGTGCGAACTGTAAAATGTATTTAGGAGCATGCATGAGTGTGAATAAAACTTTTTAAATATCTTAAATGGTATAACAAACGTCTTGTCATTTTTAGATGTTTTCAATTTGGTTATGGAAAAACAACGATACAGCCTAGTATGATTATTAAACTTTAAAAGGCGATTATTTAATTGAATAAATAACACGGATGAAAAGCATTGATGCGCTGAATGAAAATGCACCTTCACTTTCTGAAAGCTGATGGAACAGCAGAAATGTGAATAGTCAAATAGAGCTAATGCATGTTGTACTAAAGTGTATTAACTTTAATTATTTTTTACATCTAATTGTATTGGCGTTTACTCGGTTGAATTATGTTTCTGTTACACATTTATCATTTGTGTATTTGAGTTGTTTACAATGAAAATTGAGTTGAAGACATGTAAAGTCTAAAGTATTTAGTCAAACGCAAATTAGATGAGTTCATACTAATGGCTAGAGGTGGGAGAAAAAATCGATACAGCATAGTATCGCGATATTTTCTGTGGCAATACTGTATCGATACACGGGTGCCAAGTACCGATCTTTTATTATTTAAATTAGCTACACATGAGAATTTAACTTTGGTAGTAGAGTGCGTGTCTGCGTGAGTGTTCAGCGGTGCCGTGTGAGCATCAAGCGCTGCGGCGATAATACACACTCGCGTTTAGGAGTCGGGACATGACGGAATATTCACTTGCACAATCGGGCCAGCAGTGCATCGTGACTGAAGTTTACCATTTACACGTCTTTTTAAGTCTTACCAGTTTAAACATTCAAGCGATCTAAAAAAACTAATCAGTGTTCGCGCGCTCTGAGATTATTTTCTATGCGCACATTCATAGAAAATCCGCCTCAAAAACAGCTGGCCAGTAACAAATGTTATTTTTCGCGGATTGTATTGCTTTAACACGCAAAATTGTGTCAATTTCGGTCTTCGTGAGTATACTCTAAACATAGTCGGGTTTGTCTTTAATAAGCATAAAACGCATGTGACAGTATAATGAACACAGGATCCGTGCACTAGCTCTTAAAGTGACGGTAGCCATATGTGTCTGTCATTAATTTTGTTGTAAAAAAAACAACAAAAGATAGCTTTAAGTTAAAGGAATCAGGATTAATAGCCTATGTATTTAATTTAGTCAGGACTTAAAAAAAAGTAGCTACCCAGTGTTACTATCTGGGTAGTGTAGAGTGTTGTATATCCATTTGATTACATTATTCAGTTTCCAGTGTTAGGGTGTACTCACACTAGCCAGTTTGAACCGTGCCCGAGTGCGTTTGACCACCAAAGCGCGGTTCGTTTGAATAGTGTGAGTGCTCCGAACCGTGCCCGGGCGCGGCTCGATTAGCCGGCCCTGGCCCGCTTGGAAGAGGTGGGCCAGAGCACGGTTCAGTTGGACTCGGGCGCGGTTCGCATGCAGTGTGAGCGCTAACCGTGGGAGCACGGAACAGGACGCGTGATGTCATGGTTTTGCAACGCTCCAAAACCAACACAGTCCGTAATCAAAGCTGCAAAGTCCTTGCTGCACTTCAGCTGGTACCTTGCAAACCTCCTCATACGAGCAGCACGATTACGTGAAAATGTTCGCGCCACTAAGGAGACGCATCTGTTTAACAACAGGCTGTGAGAGGGCTGTGGACCACCGTGGACCAAACGACACAAAATTATCCACAAAAAAAACAGAGCGATGGACTTCATTGTGTTCAGAGAGCGCCGCTCTTCTTGTTTATCCCGAAACCGTCGCACGCACCATAATGACGTAAGCGTGCTCCGGCACGAATGCTGAAACCCTATGTGAGTGCAGGCCAGAGGGGGAGTGGGGAGGGGGGACAATCGTACTCGGGCCCGGTTCATGGCAACCGTGCCTAGTGTGAGTACACTAGACCTATTCAAAAACTTTTCTCTTTATTTGTCATTATTTGTATCTTTATTGTATTGTATTTATTTGTGCTACTTTTTTCAATTTAATTAAACAATTTAAATCAAGCTTCCTTGTGTTGTGTAAATTCTTAACAATATTACCCCCATTGTAAAAATTGCAATGAGCGCAAACATTTAGGCGATATAAATGTAATAATTTTGTTTGGAAAAAATGCAAAAATTGAAGTTGAAAAAAGGTAATAAATTGCAATATATTGCAGAATATCGCAATATGTTTAAAATCGCAATAATATCGTATCGTGACCTAAGTATCGGGATAATATTGTATCGTGGTGCCTCTGGTGATTCCCTAATGGCTAACATTAACTAAGAATGAATAGTTGTATTTTTATTAATTAACGTTAACAAAGAATAATAACTACTGTTTCAAGCTATTGCTCATTTTAATAATTGCTCAATTAGTAAAAATAGTTTGAAGCAGTAGTATTTAAAGTACCTTTATTACTTTGTGTTCTCCTTATGTCTCTTTAAAGCTGCAGTCCGCAGTTTTTCCTCTTTGTCGCCATCTCTGTTCGAAATTTGCAATTGCAGTCATTCGCAGAATTATCAACTTTACGTGAGTTGTAGTTCGACACAGCACAGCGCGGATGAACACAATGTTTGAGGAGAGTGTGCAGCTGTCAGTCGCCGCGCCAGTGTCGATACTGGCATTCAGAATCAAAGATTATTCTTTTTGGTAAGAATAATCTGTAAGTAAGTAACATCCACTTTTGTTGTGGTTCTGACATTGCAGTAAATCGCGCTGATTAAATCTAACAATGGCTTATCATATCATGCAAAACCGTGCTAATTATACTTTGTTCTCAAATTGTTAATGTTAACAACTTCAGCATTGCGTGACTACATGTAATGTCCTTCAGATATGTGTCCTTGTTTTCGCATAGGCCGGTTGCAGTCTCTTTTGTTCTGTAGCCACTACAAAGTCCGAACGAAGTCTTTTGCATTTTACAACGGGTGAATCTGTTGTCACTGGTGATTGTCGTTTGAACCTTTCTGGATCCGCCATCAAATTGTAAAGTTTAATTATATCAAGTGCTGTGAGAAAAGGCTATAAATCTCCACCTCCAGCATCCTCACACGCAATATAGCCTACTAGCCGAGACTCCTTTATGTGTACAGATGTGACGTAATGACGCAAAGACATGCTCGAATCTCCCGCGTAAATCCACCAGTACCACTGGAATTAAAACATTATTACAAGCTTACCGCTTTGAATCGAGCTAAGGCAAGCAGATAGCGTTGAACACTGGCTGGTTATGTATTTTCTCAAATTTGTATTTTGGATAACTTTTAACTCAAAAAAAGCTACGGACTGCAGCTTTAAATTTCACATTAAGCTAAAACACAGTTGAAAAATTTGCATTGCGCACCTAAAGTTTGTGCTCCTAAATTTTTCAACATATGAGCAAATGTGCTCCTTGGGGAAAAAGCAAGCATCAAGCCCTGTATGTTAAATCAAACTCAAATCTGTGCAAATTTATACAACAAAAATGGGGAGAAGTTCAAGATAATTTATGTCTTTAAAGCCCTCATTTAATTTTATTTGAAACAATATATAAAATATATTTCATTATTACTCAATCATTTCTGTTGCAATTTTAATTTTCCTCTCCTTTCATCTATGAAACGACCATCTTTCTGCTTATACTTTCTCTCCTGTTTTTTCCCCTGAAGAGCCTTGAGTGCCATAGCAACAGTGTGTGCGTTTCATTAGTATATTTACTCTCTCTGATTCATTTCACGTCATCCATTAGCAAAGCGGCATGGAAAAGGACTCCAGGGATTAAAGGGCAGTTACTTCAGGTTCACACTGACCGAAGCCAGCATTAATCACTGAATGAACTGCCAAACACACAAACACTGGTTTTCATTTATTATCTGTGCGCCACATCAGGAACACTTTACAGTTGCATGGTCTGTGTTTCGATTAATTTATGAGCAGACCTACTAATATAATCTGGGAACTACAAGTTATGCTTAGAATTTTCTCTTCATGTAATGGGAAAAAATAAGGCTTTCCATTAATATGAGCCAAATGGGTTTATTTATTTTTCCACTTATGAAGAAATCTTAATAGGAAACATCATATATGTATAAATATATATCAAAACAAAAGAGGAAAAATGTTCAAGAAGAGGTTCCTTAATCATGGTATAATCATGGCTTGACTGCATTTTACTGTTTTCAGGTCAGTTAATAGTTGTCATGTGAGCTTTGAATTTGACATGGAGGAGGGACTGACCTGTGCAGTTCATCCACTGGCAGGAAGTCACATTTTCACATGCATCACAAGATACCAATGAACCACAGACTTCATCTGCAAAAGAAACAAACCAATAAATAACATATCGTGAATGCCAAACAACATATCATTGAGATTTACAACAATCATATCATAATCAAGCTAGCAACACATAGGCCCATCTAATACAGGTTTACTCCATTGTTGAGCTAGATTTGCTCCCAGAGCATGTGTCAGAGTTATCTCTTGGCCTTTAACCCTGAAAACAAGGAAAACTATGTAACCACAATCAGTAAACCATTTTCCAAGTCTCTAGATGAAAGATAACAGAACCATGCTTACAATATGCAATCTTCTCTGCTTGTGAATTGTAGCTGAACAGAAAAACTGGGAAGAGGACCAATGAGTCTTGTGATCAAGTGAATATGATCTGACGTCTCTGGCAAAACTCAAACAAAGGTTGTTTAAAACCCTGGTGACACTCTTAAAGTCGCAGTGAAATGGAAGTAACGACAGTTCTTTAATTCTGTTTTGTGACGTACATCCGAGTGTAATGGATTAATCAAAAAAGAAAAAATGTAGGTTGGGGACTTGGTTCTGTGTATCGGTTGTTGACTGATTTTTGAGATGTGAGCTTTGCAATCAAAAGTGGAGGCAGATTAACGTAAACTTGTAGGTGGGGTTTAAGCAGACTAAAATGAATGGAGAAGTCCTGCATACTTCACCGGAATAGTAAGTCATGACAGTTTGATGAAACACTGTCCATGCCTATGTCTTTTTCCCAACAGAGAGAGAGAGAGAGAGAGAGAGAGAGAGAGAGAGAGAGAGAGAGAGAGAGAGAGAGAGAGAGAGAGCTGAAGACAGAATTCTCTGGTTTATTTTACAGCCCAACATGTGATTCTCTGGATAAATATAGATCTTCACATTGCAGTAGATCTACATGGAAGCAAAGCCACAAGATAACAAAATAGAAAACCATAATATATTTGATTACGTTACATAACAGCGATCATTTTGTGTGACAGATTATAAGAGATTACAAGAAAACAAATAAAGAAAACAGAAACACACAAGTCAAAATATTTGACTTAAAAAAAAACACACGTTAGCTTTGCGGATCGAGGCAAAAGTACATCAACCGCGTTTAACAACTTGTTATTAGAACTAGGTTGGGAATCAAGAACCAGTTCCTTACAATCAAAAAATAAAGGCAAAGATTTCGGTCGTTGAACGTTCACACTTCCGCCATGGAATGGACACCGTAGTTTCCTGTACTAAGTTACGCCACTACTGAATCTACAGCGCGAAACATACATCACGACCAATATATTACAAATACTCGAACAGCTGATTCTTTCGAGTCGATTCCAAGTCGATGTAAGTCAAAATCATTCAGAGCGACCGGAGAAGTTTAATTCCTGAATAAACGACTCTTAGGAATCGGTTATTTTTAGTGTAATAAAACATGCAGACCGATGTAGTCAGATTACCGCGCGAATGACTCTTATAAATCAGTACTTTAACATTTCTATGTAAACACAGTTTTTAATTTATTTCTAGTAACTTAACGTTACTGTTTTATCAGTTCTGCTGAAATCTGAAATGACCTCGTCATTTGGCAACAGACTGACGGAGGGCAGTTGATGCAATAAGAACTGAATCATTACCAAATATTTATTCCACAAAAGTGTTGAAACAACCGTTAATGGAATCGTTATAAAACCGGAATCGCCACCACCCCTAATTAAAATCACAGTTTAGGTGTAACCCAGGGGCGTCACTAGGCCCTTTTTAGGGGGGCTTCAGCCCCCCTAAACTTCTGCCTAGCCCCCCTAAAAATGTGAGATTAATGTAGGCTACACAAATTCGTGTTCGCTTCAGTCTTGTTATAATCAGATTCAGCGCGTTCTTCATCTTCAATCCGCAGCGGCGCCGACAGAGAGCACGTCAGAAACAGAGGACAGGGTGTGTGTGTGTGTTCATGTGTGTTCATCTGAGCCTCATTGGTCTGTCACTGCTCGTCAATGTCAGAATATTTGAGATGACCAATCAAATCAAAGTAGGCGGGCTTTATGTTCACAGACGCTGCTGAGCGCGAATTTTAACAGTGCGACTCGACGCGTACGGTCAAGTGCGAGATAAGATGTAAGTAGCTAAACCTAACATTTCATATTTTACTTTTTTTAGGTCATAAATGTTAAACGAATGACAAAAAATAATCAGGCAAACTAATATAGTTTTGTCTAATTTCGCCATTTTGAACTGAAAATAGGCTGTAACGTGACTCATGTAATGTAATAATTAGTTTACAAGAAACATTAACAAAGCCGTTTTCATCATGTTAGGCACAAGATTAATAATGAATGTGTACATATTGAGGATATAATACAAATTGTAGCCTTTAGTAAATTAAAAAAGCTCAGCTTTAGGAGGGGAAGAGAAAGGGACGAAGAGACTGAGAAAAAAAGAAAGAGTGATGGAGATGAGAAGAGAGCAGGTATTGACAAATAATCTGCCCGCACTGACATGGTTTTAAAGCTATTTTTTATCCTTTTTTGGTCTTCAAACGTCTTGAAATGCACATATCAGAGAAATAAAAAATTTGAACCCCCTACCAACCTCAAATTTAGGACCTCTGTGACTAAAGCCCTGTCTACGGCCCTGTATTAGGCATAAGATCAATAATAAATGTGTAGCCTACATATTGTGAATGCATTTAATAAACTTAATTACCTTTAGTAGCTTTCAGTAAATAAACGCGTCTGAGAAAATGATTCATAGGCAAAATCAACCTATCAGTTGACCCTATGTTTACTTTCTTCACTGACAGACAAAAATGAAAAGCCTATATCAGTCAAAGCTCAGCTTTAGGAGGGGAAGAGACAGAGCAAGATAAAAACAAAGAGAAAAAGAGTGTGATGCTGATGAGGAGAGAAAAATAATCAGCTGCTGCACTATCCAAGTTTTTTGGCCTTCAGAACATCTTAAAATGCACATATGTAGATCAGAGAAATCAAAATTTTCTCGGGGAGACCCCGAACCCCCTTTTTTGCCCTACCTCACATTAGGGACCACAGTTATTATAAAACCGTGCCTTTGCATCGTAATGAAAATGGTTAATAGTGATCTTTAGATCCTAAACTAAAGTGTTACATTTTTTTATTTAAAAAAAAAAAATCATATTGGGGGCTTAGCCCCCCTAAAATGAAAATCCTAGTGACGCCCCTGGTGTAACCGATGGCGTGACAGAGACTGTTTTGGTTTGCGTCGTAACAACAGGACACGCTGTTTCACTGTTAACGTTAAAGATGATAAATTTACTCACCCGTCACTGATTCCTGTCTTGTCATTGATCCCAATAGGGCTAGTAATAATGTCACGAAGAAAAGTCTCCAAACCATGGTGTCTAATTGGTCTATTCTCAGTCCTCGTTCGTGCGTTCAGTTCGAGCTGTCTGCAGTTTCACTGAAGTGCTGCTGTGGATGTGGCTGCGCTTCCTGCTTTCAAGATCACGTGACTGGATCTTTTCATCATTGGGTGGGAAATGCGGCTTGAAAGCGTGTGGCAAAACAACTGTTTTCCTGCAGGGGGCGCATGGGGGCTCAACAAAGATAAATTTTCATTGAGCTGCAAAAAAATCTCAGGAACTTTTGTGTTTGATTGACGCCATTTGTGTTTTAAAAAATGTTATCGTTTAAAGCTGTTAGTTACTAGACCTGGTACCTGACATTGAAATGTAAACCTGCACAGACAGCCACTATAAAATAAGTTTAATAATAGTAATCAACAAACAACCGTGATTGACTCATCCTAACAGGCGCTGAGAAAAGTAACATGTACCACGTGACAACGCAGCGCTGCTTTAACAACAATTTAGACGATATTTACACCGTGGAAATTTAATTGAATTTGAATGTTAAAATAATCACTGAAAAGTAAAAATATGAAGAATATAATTTATATCTCATCATATTTAACGTTAGAGTTTGGGCCGCTAAGCCCCGCCTCTTTCAGACTCGTTTCCTTCTGATATAGCCATTCCATTCTCTTATTGCCACGTGTTTCCCGCACACTTCCAACAAATGTTGCCATTGCCGTGTATAAAAATAAATCTTAGCTGGCGAAACCCTGCGCGCAATATTTTTGTTTAGCTTATTAATAATTCATAGAGCGAACGTTTTAACCACTACAAAATGATTTGATTTTACCTTATGAACCTTTTCCAGCCCTCCTAACAAAATGCCGGTGGTGAGTAACGCCATCTAGAGCTGTCACTGATTTTTAAGACATGGGACAACAACTTTACATATAACTTTAACTTTAGCTGTCTTTAGTTTTGTAAAAGGCAGATTAATCAGAGAATGTACCATTAACCTTAAAGCCACTTGTCCTCGTACCACTACTCAATAGGCCTACTTTAAATAGTTATGTGAATGCATTCATTTAGTTACTGACCCATAATTTTGTGAGATAGAAGAAGGTGAACATACTGGATGTCCAAAATAATATCATATATTATATTTTATGCCAGTAGTCTACTCAAAAACCAGTGCACTGAAGGTATTAAAATAATGTATAATTTGTTGGAACAGTTTACTATATGCTTTGACATTCCACGGACAGGCAACAATCGCTGAAATATCCCATACAAGTAATGATTGGCATTGGTCTAAATCGCTGGTACAGAACAAACACAACAGTAAATGATTAATTTTGTTACTTGGCAGATATTGGGCCATGAACTGTTGCTATGCTGCCACCCAGTGGACGAGTCCATTAAAAACTGTGAATTTTCTTTTGATGTGAAACCATCTGTTAAACCTTTAAAATATTTCCTGCAAGTGTTTAGAACACTTTTTATTAGTTAAAAAATGGCTAATAATTACATAACCTTTATATAACATACAACATAACTATTATGCAATATTGTTCACGAATGTAATAATCACCTAGAAAGTATGAGGATAAGATATAAATAAAAATATAGTTTAGATAATACATTCAACAAAACATAAAATTGAAAAGTCAACCTTTGTTTCACTCTACCTAAATGTATTGTATTGTAATATCAACCTTCCATCACCAGAGAGCAGCATTGTAATGAATATTGGACAGCATCCCCCCTCAATATGCCTAGCATATATAATCGTTAGCACGATTCAATTTAGCTCCAATCGTACCTTACCTACCTTTACAATTTCTCAATTGCCTAGAAATTGTAGGTCAGAGAAATGCTGCCAGTAGATGAGGTTGGCAGAATGTAATTAGACATTGTCAAGTCTAGAAACGAAGAGTCGTTCTGTCAGCAGATGGCGCTGTATACTTTCACATGCTGTTCACCCTCATACTGCTATTAGTAGGCCTAGCCAAATCTTTCTGAATAGAGAGCTGCTGCTAGTGGAGAGATTCGATAAATATCCATACAATTATGCTATTTCACATGAGATTCATATCAGCATATGTATTTCTAGTGTTTAATATGTTTATCTAGTGTTAAATCATGTCAAGTCACCTTTATTTATATAGCCTAGCGCAGCGCTTTATACTGTACAATACAGATTGTTTCAAAGCAGCTTTACATGAGTAAACAGGGAGATAATGATTCAATGATGCAAACAGAGTTCAGTTCTGCTGTAAAGCAGCTCTAAAAAGCAAAGAGTGTCATGGTTCAGCAGAGGTCTGTTCAGTGTTGATTCAGTTCCATTCAATAATTGTGAAAAGTTCATCAAATATGAAATGAGTTCTCAGTTCTTATCCAATAGTGACAGTCATATCTATAATACTATTGAATAGTATCTGTCCCCAACTAAGCAAGCCAGAGGTGATAGTGGCAACGAACCCAAACATGTCAATCTTTTGTTAAATTGTGTCCTAAATTCCGTATGTATTTTTCATGTCTGTTACCATAAAGTATTTCCTGTTTTTCAAAAGAAAGATATTCATCCTTTGCTGCCTCCATTATGACGCATATGTCCAAGGACCATGCAAGCTTCATTCATTTTAATCTTTAATTTTGTTACATATGGGCCAATAATAACATAGGCCTACTTTTAGGCTATACAGATTTGAACCCAATTAAAAAACGACTTTGAGTGGTTTTCTTCCACACCCCTACCTCTTTTCCCCCATTCCAAAACTTTCTTTAGTCGTTTTAAACTAGCTAAAAACCTGTCTAAGATGGTTTGCTGGTTTAAACTGGTTTAAGATGGTCTCTCAGCCTGACCAAGCCGGTTTTACCTGTTCGATCTTAATAGTAGCCTACTCCTTAGAATTATGTCCATTAATATGTTTGTTTTTAAATGCAAGTTTTTCAGTAAAAAAAAAGAAGAAAAAAAAGAAAGTTAATTACAAATTAGTCCTAACTTTTAATTACAAAATAATTCGTAATTAATTATTAATAAATTCGACCCTCGCGAACAGAAATCGCGTTCGATTGAGGACGTAACCATAGCAACAGAAGCCTGCTCGAACGTTTTCTGTTCTGATTAGTATCGGGGTGTACATTGACAAATCATAATTACAGACATCCTTTATTACTTTGTAAACTTATTAAATATGTAGACTATAGATAGGTATAACAAGTTTATCACAACAAAAATGTTTTGTTAAAAAATAGTTTGATTATAATTATTTAGGCTCGGTTAGGCTGTCAATCAATCCACACTGTACGTGCCATATGATATTTACATCACTGAGAGAGAGAGAGAGAGAGAGAGAGAGAGAGAGAGAGAGAGAGAGAGAGGGGGGGAGATCCACTGGCTGGGATGCAGACGGATAACTGAAGTATATCATCAGTGCAGCAGCTGTCTCAGAAGGAGGTGAGGCGATATCTCATTGACTCAGGTGCGTAGCGATCGAATTCCTGTGCAGATGTTTCCGTTGTTGTTTGTATTTCCTGGTAACTGCAGGTACGGACAGATGTGCGGCAATGTCACTAATGCGAGTACAGGAGGCATTGCATCGTAATTATATCTAATTTGTCATTGAGTGCAATCGATTAAGTCAGTAATGCTTATACTTGCTGAATGGAAACGACAGAACAACGAATCTGAATGTATGGCACAAGACATCTATGTCTATCTGTGTGATATTGGCACAATAGTTGTTTTTAGGCTTCTGTTTGTTCTCTTTCTCTGGATTTATACTCAAATGAAGATGTTAGTGAGATGAGGGCAATTAAATTAATCTCGTTCAGTATGAAAATAAGTTTGTCTTGTAGCCTATATAGTCGCATTGAGATTTAAGGGGACACAGGGTATCCGCGGTTTGTGTGCAAACACTTTGCATTCAATAGTTGTGCTTTGACTAAAGGCGCGTCTTAGTTTCATTCATTGTCATCGTCATACGGTTGTCTGCGCTGTCCGCGGTGCTGAAACCGCCCCAAACTTGCCCCTGCAAGGACGTGAAAGACGACGACGTCGCCAGTAAAACTTGCTCATTCTGTGGTTATATGTTTCTCTTTCTTAAATTTGACCGTGAATCTCTCGCTCGCAGTTATTTTGCAAAGACTGAATAATGACGTAAGTTTGCCTTCATAGGGAAACTTCATTGGCAGGGCTTCTAAAGCGACAGTCAACAGAGACCGGCGCGTGTTGTATATTATTCCTATATTTGTCTTGCCACTTAACTAATGAGTTTGTAAATCTACAGTTTATCCCTAAACTGCCTAATTTTATGTCACACGGGTGTTGTTGTTTCAGCCTACCCCACTAGGTGAGCTCTTACAACAACCGAAAACAAGTAGGCTACATTTTAAATTGTGCACGTATTTATTGTGGTGATCAAATGTACAATTGTTATACCACCCCCATTTTAATTAAAATAGTAATCTATAGGAAATATTTCTATTCAAAACTGTACATAAAATTATACAACAGATATAAAATGCAAAAAACATTGGCTAACAACTTTAAAAGCATGACAGACACTGAACATTACGAAAAACGGTCCCATTTTGTGCAATCTTTTTGCACCTAGAAATAAGTTGCAAAGTTTTACAACCCTTGGACATGGTATTTCTAGTTTTAGACAGATGAAAAGCTTGTGTGGATGTTCTGTATCAGATCAAACGAGAACTGCTGATTCAGATGTTCTGTCATTTAACATCAATATGATCACAAATTTAATTCTAAACTATATCTTTGTCTTTTTAGCGCATTATATTTGTCCTACAAATCGTTTATATTTTATTTAGAGTTTTATAACTACCATCTCAGCATTTAGGGAAGTGATTCACCCATGTAACTAATTTTTAATTGGTTAAACTGTTACAACACACCCTGATTTACAGCACTCCCTCATTGTTAAATGATCACTCTCTTGCATTACTTTATGCATGCTTTAAAAAAAATAGATGCATAATAAATGAATGGATTGTAATAGATGCACACGTTGTCCCTAACTAACTCTGTGTTGTGTTTTCTCAGCAGGTGTCAGGCCGCATTAATGTTGTCTCACGTGCGCATCACGGTTGCTTAATTGAATCTGGGACTGCAGAGAAACGAGCACCGCTGGCACGAGCAGCTCGCACGCTATGCCCGTCACACAATGTGGAACATGGCACGCTTGAAGATGCCCCGTGTCTCGTGCGGACACTTACCACTGTTCATGTGTCTGTTTCTACCGACACTCTTATCTCACGCGCTTGGGAACATATACAAGCGCTCGGCGGCCCCGCGCGCGGTGGCCCGGTCTGTCGCCCGCATGGATGGCGACGTGATCATCGGTGCGCTCTTCTCCGTGCACCACCAGCCGTCCGCCGAACGTGTGGCCGATAGAAAATGCGGGGATGTGCGAGAGCAGTACGGCATTCAACGGGTGGAGGCGATGTTCTATACGCTGGACCGTATCAACTCCGACCAGAACCTGCTGCCCAACATCACCCTGGGCTGCGAGATCAGGGACTCGTGCTGGCACTCATCCGTTGCTCTGGAGCAAAGCATCGAGTTCATTCGAGACTCTCTCATCTCCATTCGGGACGACAAAGACGGATCTAAGTGGTGCATCGACGGGACGCCTTCCAACCAGCCTCCTCCCAGTAAGAAGCCCATCGCTGGAGTCATAGGTCCGGGCTCCAGCTCGGTGGCCATCCAGGTGCAGAATCTCCTCCAGCTGTTTAATATTCCCCAGATTGCTTATTCGGCCACCAGCATAGACCTGAGCGACAAAACCCTCTTCAAATACTTCCTCCGTGTCGTGCCCTCTGACACGCTGCAGGCGCGCGCCATGCTCGACATTGTCCAACATTATAACTGGACCTACGTGTCTGCGGTTCACACAGAGGGTAAGTCATTGGTGAGACCTGAGTTCTCACTAGTCCTCTTGCTATGAGACATTTCAAACAACTTTTCTAAACATTGTAAATGTAAGAATACAGGTAACCTATCTCTCATGTCATTACTGTAACACATTTTGTTTGACTGTTTGTTTTTGGCTATTTGATTAAAACTTCAAACATTTTTCTGCTAAACCTATGTAAATTCATAAATTAATCATATGCGAGCAGGTGTTTTAACTTAGTAACGGAGACAGAAGAGTGTTGTAACACTTTTACACTTAAAAAAACCCTGTTACTGAATGTAGTGTGTAAATGAATGCTTAGTGCATGCTGTACAATCTGCCTCTTTAATGGATGGGTTATCAATGGAAAACAAAGGCATTTTAAATGTTGTGTATTATTTTGTGATAATCAAAAAAAGCATTTTAAAATAAAGAGCTAATAACAAATATAGAAATACACAGGTTAAGATGACAGACAGTGTGTTGTGCAAATGTATAGCCCAATCACTGTCCCATTATGTGCAATAACCGTCCGTGGGTCCCTCCCCATGGTCAGCCATGATATTTCCAGTTTTTGAAACATGTAGATCAAAGCTGGTGTGGATGTTACATGTCAAAATTGATCACAATCAAGCTATTAGCCAGACATGGTACTTATGCATAATCTTATAACTTCTGCTGTCACTTGGTGGTCACAGTGGGTGTGGTATGATGGTGATTTCACCATTGTAACTCAGTTCTAATGGGTTAGACTCCATGTTACACAACCCTCTCTGTTTTCCTCTACATTGAATATGTTATCGGAATTTGATTAGAAGGAGGTTTTGTAAGTCTGGCTTTGAATATAAATCCATGAACTTTTAATGATATGATTTAAGTGTTAACATTTTTAATTAAGTCAAAACAATTGGGAAAAGCTGCATTTGAATATAATGAGTGCACCACTCTTTAAATGTACCTAACCTAAATGGTAATTCACTTCCATTAGAGTTGTAGTGCAAGTGGACCAAAGACCTTCTTATTATTTATGGAAGCATGCTTTAATGACTCCATACATAATGAGGGTAATAATGTATTCTCCCCTTTTCGCATACAACACACACACATTTTTTTGTTGCTCCCTCCAGCATTGTTATGTGTATCATTTTCAATTCAGTTGATTTGTTTATAAAATGTCCAAAGGTGGAAGGCTTGTTTGTTAAACCACACATTGAGATGATTAATGAATGGGTCAAATCACTTTTTGTTTTCTTTTACGCTGATAGAGTTTTAATTCTGTTCCTAGCTGGTGGAATTAAAAGTAAATAAGGTCAGATAGAACTTGGTTTATATTCTTTATATGTGTATATAAAAAATCCTCTTTAGATTACTGTCAGCAAACTTCAGTGAGTAAAAACCAATGCAAAATATTATTGAAGTTCTGATGCATGCCAGGTCGTAATACATGCCAGGTCGTGATACTATTGGAATTTTGTTAGTGATGTCCTTCTGGTTTCTTATTAATAGACTTTGACATATCTGCCTACTTCTAAGTTAATGTTAAAAAATAAAGGGGCAGTAAAGGGGCAGCACAGGCACAGATTTAAATAAGCAATATAATGCTGATGCTCAGTTCTCTGTCCTGGTGATAACTAATTAGAAAGATGACTCTTCCCTTTCAGGAGAGACTCTGTAATGGTTTATCAGTCATGCACTGTAGACAATAACTCATTAACACAACATCAGCAACTGTGTCGGACACCGCTGCCATGTTGCTCATAGTGACAGCAAAGATCTTTGATTACATTAATTACCCAGCCAAATATAAATTCATGTCTGGTTTAAAGACGTTTTAATGGCCATATTTAAACATGCACCAGTTTTACTCAAGCTTGCATGGTAATTTTTTTCTTAAATCATTATTTTGATGTCCTGCTGAAAAAAATAACTAAATCTAGAGCCGGCTTGCTGGTCTCAACTGGTTTAAACAGGTCACCCAGCCTGGTCTTCAACTGGTTTGGCTGATCTCCCAGCGTGAGCAGTTGAAAAGTGCCACAAAAAAAAGCCCTCTAAAAACAGATCATGTCAGTATTATTGTCAGTAACTTTGAGTACTAGCATCAAATTGTTTATTTAACTGTCCTTGTGGTACCTTTCTTCTTTAGAATATTCATATTCACTTTAACTATATGCTTCAAATGGTATTAATATGACACCAGGAGGACATCACTAGCTTTCTTTTTTCAGCTGAAGTATTTGTTTCAAATCAGATTCACATGATCTATCAAAGACATGAAATGAATGAAGGGAATGATTATAGTGTTTGGTTTCTTAACTCACATGTCTGTTTTTTCCCCCACAGAATTTTATGAACGTGAGCAGAAATGCTAAAATGAGATGCCTTTAAAAATGACAAACACCTTTAGAAAAAAATATACAAGACTATAAAACCAGTATTTCCTTTTTAACTAGCAAACATTTTGGTCTTCTCACTTTGTAGGACAACCATATTGTGTAGCATGCAGTTTTATTATTTATGGTTACACTTAATTAAGATAGTCCACTTTAGACATTCTACTAAATATAAGTAACTTTACAACTACGTCAACTAACTCTCATTAGAGTTAGACTGTTAGGTTAGGGTTAGTAGAATAAGTTGACAAGTACTTGAAATATTGCTTCTAGTCAGTGGAATATTTTGAGTGTTAGCAGATATTAAGCAGACAGAGTCTGCTAATACTCTAATGACTAATAATACTAATGACTAGTGAGAAAGAGAAAGCTACAATGGGATAACATAAACCTGTTCCAAACAAGAGAATGAGAGAGAAAGGGAATTGTTAGAGAGCCACAGACCTGTGAATGTGTTCAGATTGTCACCCGCACACCCACTCCACACAGACTGACCTCCAGACAGTCATCGGTGACCACACACACCACTCATCTCTCCTGATAAGACAGAGTCACTGTTCTTCTTTTGAGCTCAGTCAACAGCAGTGACCTCTACTGCCCGCACAATAAGATGTAAATTTCGCCTGGCAGCCCAGATGTAGAATGGAACGGAAGATGTTTTAAATGTACCGTCGTGAGCTGCATGCTTTTGTACAGAATCGTTTCTGATTCATACAATATTTTGAAAAGGACACAGTGTGTTCAAGTGACCTATTATGGTAATTTGCGGTAATTCTCAAGAGCACCACAAAGTGTTATTGGTGTACTTGTCTAGTTACAGTACAATGCCTGTGGAATACAATTAAGGGATAATGATCAGTCAGTCCTTAACTTAAATATTGCTTGGCTACTTACTCAATAAATAAACAAATTATTATGGAATATGAGAAGAATGAGAGCGTAGAGGGATGAGTGACTTAAAGGGATAGTTCACCCAAAAATGAAAATTCTGTCATTTTCTCTCTCATGTTGATGCTTTTGAAGAATGTTTCGACTTCAAATCTGTCCAAAACCCGCCATTGACTTTAATTGTGTGTACACAAAGGCACAGAGACCTTTTGTAATTGATCTTTTTGTGTGTCATAATCTGGAATAACATGAGGGTGAGTAAATGACAATAGAATTTTCGTTTTTGGTGAACTATCATATCCCTTTAGGAAATGTTTTGCAGTTTAGCAGTCATTATAATTACAAACATATTTAATTTCAGAATGCAGTAGTCAACCAATCAGAATCAAGCATTCCAAAAAGGGATGATAATGACCTTTTTTTGTTTTAAATTTTTGTTTCTCATTCTAGCTGTATGACGCCATTTTGTATCCTAAATGGTGGTGACCATTTCTTCATTTCATGTCTTTTTCAGTTGCCTGTCTGCCTGTCATTTTGTGTCCTCCATAGTCAACTGTCATCCATTTCTTATCCTGGACTCTGACTGTTCTGACAGGTGTTGGATCAGTGGCGGTAATCCATCCTCCATTCTGTGTCTTTGATTAAAGCTGCACTAGTTTCATATGTGTTTTATGTTATCCTTTATTAACCGTCCTACATTTTGTGTCTGACCACAGGTAACTATGGTGAGAGTGGCATGGAAGCCTTTAAGGAGTTGGCCGCAGAGGAGGGTCTGTGTATCGCACACTCTGATAAGATATACAGTAATGCTGGCGAAAAGCACTTTGACCGTCTGCTTAATAAACTCCGGGAGCGTCTGCCCAAAGCCCGCGTGGTTGTCTGCTTCTGTGAAGGAATGACTGTGCGTGGCCTGCTGACGGCCATGCGGCGCCTTGGGGTTGCTGGAGAGTTCCAGCTAATTGGGAGGTAAGGTTTTACTAAGAAAAACTGCATCCCTGAGAACGCTTAGATATAATTTGCTCATGTTCGCTCATGTCAAAATAAATTGCGAGCTTTGAAAGAGACACAAAGGGCAAACGAGTCAAAATGACACCCACACTGTCTTGCTCATGGCTATATCACAATTGAATCATTTTTGGTGGAGCAAAATACTTTTGCATATTGTTTGCAAAATAAGCAAATATGATTCTTATACTATCAATAATTATTATTACATTTTATGTGTTGCTTTGAGTGCCTATGTGTTTCCAATCATGGCGAAAGAAGAACAGACATCGGAATGCTTGGAAATAAGTGTTGCTACTGAATACAGAAGTTTCCAGGGAAACCAGATGAGATTAAATATGGACATTGTGAACAGAGGCGCTTTTCACACTTTTCGCCACTAATGAATAATTTGTGATTCAGTAGCTGGCTCACACATCCCTGGAAACGGCCTCCTGCTTCCTGCCTTTGTCTTATATGGTGTCAGTGTTTGAGATTATGTTTGGGTGCTTGTGCCAGAGAGGCTCGTCACTTGATTTTAGATCAGGCATGGAAAAATGCTGTGGGCTGAGTATTAAATATTCAATCTCACAGCCTCTCAGGAAATTAATCTGATGGCAAATAACAAGTAGGCAAGCAAAAGTTGATCTTTGGTAAACCAACCTCAATTCATGCATCATGTCATCACTTAAAATAATATATTTATTATTGTTAACAAAATATTATATATAATTTTGTTAACTAAAACTATGTTTTTGGTAATTGAAATAAAGCTGTATATATTAGATGAAAAACTTAAATGAAATAAACAGAGCAATTCCAAGAGGGTCATCGCACCATCGATGATAAAAAAAGAAGAAGAAATATTGCCTTGACATAAATGGGTAACACTTTAATTTACAATCCTGTTTCACATGTACATGCTATGTACTTATTGTAGTAATGACAAGAACTGGGGGTAATAACTAACCCTGAACCTACCCCTAAACCTAACCTTAACCCATGTTGTTACTTTACATTACTCAGTATTTTGGTGGGTAAGTACACTGTAAGTACTGTAAAATAAAGTGCAACCCATAAATGAGGTGAAGAAATTAGTTGAAGTACTAAAATTGCTGTGAGAATATTGCATATTATTTACATATTGTATATAGATTTTTTTTTCTGTAATCAGCTGTCATCTTGCCATTTGTTTTTAGATGTGTGTCTTCATAGAGAGGAATATGAGTATTATCGGTCACAGAAGTGTAGAGCATTATTTGCATGGAATCAGTTTAGGTGAAATTTGGGACCACTAACATTCACAAGTTTTGGGTCAGTAAGATCTTTTCTATTTTAATGTTTTACATTTTCATATGTAATTTATTCCTGTGATGGAAAAGCTGAATTTTCAGTAGTGGTCAACCGATATATCACCAAGGCCGATATATCGGCCGATATTTTTTAAATATCCCTGAAAAATAAAAAAAAACTAGAAATGTTGCCCTGGCATAAATGAGTTGAAGAAATAAGTTGAAGTTCTAAAACCACCTAAAAATTACCAAAAATAAATTGAAACATGAAAATATAAAAATGAAAACTAATTGAAAATATCAATAAATATTATAATAAATATTATTAAAATAACACTGGTCCCCATAAGCCATACCGCCACAAGGAATTTTGTTCTTTCTTTGCTACTTGTTGTTATTGCGAGTCTCTAGAGAACACTCTTTAAGAATTGGTTAATCGCGGTGGTCTGAAATTTCCTAATATTTGCAGAATTCAATGGCTGAGTAAATAAGCTGAATACAGTCAGCCGGTCAATATCGGAAAAAAACCTTCAGGACCCCAAATGGGTAAATATGTTTTGAGGTATTGTCATATAATCAAAGATATTACACTTTCCTCACAGTTGTTTGATTTACTAAGGCTATTCTTTGATCATTCAAATTGTCTGATAGCGAAATCAGAGCAATGCTGGATAATATTCACGGACGGAATCCTTGCAGACTTGAAGATCTGGAAATGAATTGTAGCAGCTATCTTGTTTAATCTATATCAAGGCAGCATCTATAGCCCACCCACGTACAATCACAGGCAGGCCATCATATTCAGCTAACAGACTTTCTAGGTCAAAACATTGTGTCTGGAGTCTGGCTTTTCGTCTGCTTTCGTTTCTGCATGACCCTGTCTCATTCAGTTTTCAGTTGGGTAATAGAAACGAACATGTGTGTTTTTATCAGTACATGTTCGAGAGGAAAACAGAGGGAAAGAGAGAGAGACAGACATCAGAACTGCTTTTGGGAACTAATGGAGATTTATTCATTAAAACACGCCTTGCATTGTCATGATAATCTGAGTCCAAGCCTTCAAGCAAGACAGTTGATGATGTGTATCTGAGATAGAGATGGAGTGAGAGAGAAAGTGAGTGTGATTAAGAAAGAGAGAGAGAAAGAGAGAAAGGGAGGGAGTATGTTTGGAGAGCTCTTCTGTGAAAGAGGATGAGGTCCAGGTGTTCTTCTTCCTCTGCTTTGTTTATTCTTAGCCAGCTCATGTCTTACCAAAAAGCAGGGTATGTAATTTTGTACAGCAGCAGAAAAAACATCGACTTTGTAATTTCTAATCAACATCCTCAGTCTCACAGGGAGCTTCCCTTTAAGGCTTATCGGATTCCCCAGAAGTAGTCAAGCTACACTGGGCACTATATGTTTACCTCTGCCTCTTAATGATCAAATCAAATTCATTCCCGCTATATTTCTAACTTCTTTTTTAGTGTCCCATACAGCATGTGCCCCAGAGATATTTTCATAGGCACATATTATTGCTCTCAGGACAGAAAAACAACATCAGCTCTTCAGTATTTCAACTGTGTTGTTTCAAGCACTGACAGGAATCCAAATTAAATGTTTAAATAGCAGCGCTCTCCTCCCCTAGTGCCTTCTGTGTTCCTAGTTCCTAATCTTTTTGCGTTTTTCCTCCAAACACTCCTTCTCCCCTCTCATTACACATTCTTCTAAGACCAGTTGAAAGAAGAGATAAATATATTTTTCAGAAAAGAAAATGTGAGTGCTTCTCCATCTTTATAACTCGGCACCTGTACAATTTCTTAAGAGTTCTTAGTGGTTGTTAGTGCATTACTATGCCACATTTGGTTCCTAGAGTTCATCCTTCATGCAATGTGTGTGTGTATATAATATATATATACATATATGTATGTATACATGCATATTGTTATTACTATACAACTTTCCACTTTCAACTTGAGCGTCCCTGAGAAGCCCTCTCTCTTTTATTAGCATCACGCTGCCTCTCAGCTCTGCTCATTCTGTGAGAATATTGCATATTGTTTTTTTTTTTTCTGTAATCAGCTGTCATGATTTTTGCCAATAGTTTTTTTGATGTGTCTCTTTATAGAGAGAAATTAGGAGTCTTATCAGTTTGTCTCAGGAGAATAGACCATTATTTGCATGGAATTTGTTTAGGTTAAATATAGGACCAATAACTTTAGAAATTTTGAGTCAGTAATATATTTTCTATTTTAATATTTTATATTTTCATATGTCATTTATTCCTGTGATGGCAAAGCTGAATTTTCAGCAGTCTTCAGTGTCACATGATCCTTCAGAAATCATTCTAATGTGGATATCAAGATACATTTCTTATTATTATCAATGTTGCACTGCTTAATATTGTGGAAACCATGAGACATTTATTTCAGGGTTATTTGATGAACAGAAAGTTCAAAAGCATTTATTTGAAATATACTGTACATTTTTTGTAACATTATAAATGCCTTTACTTTTACTTTACTTCATTTTAGAAATCACGTTATTTTATGTTTTGTTATGTTTAAAATAAACCACTGATAATTGAAAAGTAATTATTTGTAGAAATGAAAGCTTTAAATTATCTTTTTATAAGGCATAATTATATGCCAGCATATGTTAATTTTTTATGTTATTTATTATTTGTAAACAATTGTCAGTAAATAACCTTGAAAAATCACTTAGCAAACTGGAAAAGGACATCTGTTTCATAGTATGACTCAACCACCATTGATAATGATAAAATGACTTGAAGTGCTTGGCCTTAATTTATCTGATTTTAACTATCAGTACTTTTAATAAAGCATTATGTCCTTGAGATCGGTCCTGGCTTCACTCCTACTTCTTTTTTTTACCCTTTCATGTTCTAAACTTGCCATATGACTTTAGCAACATTCTTTACCACGTTTGTATTTAAGTGGGTCATTTACTCAAAGGTGCGTTTGAACTCTCCAAATAACTTTTCTTCTTTATTTCTAGGTTATTTTCTCTTCAAGTAATGTGGGGAATTGGATTCAGCATTCTTTAGTGCATGCAGTGCTGCATGATTGCCTGTGACCTCCTTGTAGAAGTTATCATCTGCGGATATTGCGGTTTTGTAAGAGAACCGCTCTCGTAAAGCCCCACGGAGGCTAATTCTCAGGAAACATCTCTTTCTCATTTGCCCTCCATTTTGAATGTATTAAAAGATGTATTAGTCATGAGGGCGAACAGAGAGTGAGAAAGAGTGACTTTAACAGGTTTTCGAAATGTCTGTGTATGGGAAGTTCCCACATGTGGCTGAAAAATCAGTTCATTAGAGGAAGTTGGGATGGAACTGGAAAACGAGAGAGAAAAAAGAGACAGAAGAGAGAAAAACTCACTAAACTCTTTTAGTGAGATTCTGCCACAAAAATAAGCCAAAAAGGAAGCTAGCTGGGTTGAAGCATTAACATTACAGTCTCTGGAAAGCTGCAGATATTAAACCTGTTTGTGTTGACCTGCCAGTCTTTAGCAGCGCTTCACAGATGCTCTGAGGTCACTTTCAAGTCTTTAAGGTTCAAACAGCGACAGCAAAACTACATTAGAGTGAGGGAAGCCTGCAGGCATCCCAGCAGCCCTGTCATTGGAACTGTAGTACACCACGTCCCATAGGAAATAAAGCACATCTGTTTGCACTCAAACTGCTGTTGTAATGTTTAAGAAGTTGATTTTACACTATTTACTTCATGTCACTATACGCAAGTTTTCAAGTTTTGCCCCTTGTGAATTCAAAGAATCTTAGAAAGAGGCTGACATTGAAAGGTTTTGGATATGAATGGACTGATTTGGGTTTTTAGGAGAAAAAAGAGGCATGCAGAGAGGACATGAGAAAGTCTCGTGATGTGTGTGTATGTGAATGTGAGAAGGGGAGAGAGAATAATGGAGGCAGATGAAAGCTGGTGTGGGGCGAGCGAGAGCGGGCGTGATGTGGGCTCCCAGCAGCAATGCTGCTTGTGAAACACAGAGCCAGGCTGCTGCTAACTGGAGCGCCATGAATTAGTAAAGGCTTTTTGGATGAGTTCTAATGGCCCTCAGCCTAAGCCTGCACTGTCTTACTCAGTCCTCTAGAGAGGATCGAGCAACAGTCAACCAGAGCACACATGCACAATATACTGGATTTGAATGAGTAATGAGGGAACAGAGGATAGGAAGAGAGAGCAGAGGAGGACAAAAAAAGGATAGCATTTAGTCACCATTGGCATTAGTCAGATAAACATTGTCTGCATCCACATATGCAGTTTTGTCATCATCTAGTAATGTTAGTTAGATGCATCTTTAGATTGTTAGTTTCCTGCATGCAACAACAAACACAGTGCAAGCGGGGATGTTTAGTTCTTTATCAAATTATTACTCTTATGAACTGGTTCTTTTTAATGAGCCAGTTGAAAAGATTCAAAAGGAAAGCCTTGAACTTGCTTGCGAGTTAGCGGTTTGAATCCGAATCATTCAGTGAATCAGCCAAAGCCATTGAGTTCACAATTGACTCCCTCTCTGAACTGATATTTTTCAGTTTCAAAAATGTTTTGTTTTGTTTATATGACAATGCAATATAAATGTACAGTAAACATACACTACCATTCCAAAGATTAGGGTCGGTAAGATTTTAAAATGTTTTTGAAAGAAGTCGCCCATGACAACCAAAGCTGCATTTATTTTATTAAAAATAAACATATTACATATTACTTTTAAATGTTTTTTTTTTTTGTAAAGATTTTTTTTGACTATTTTTTCCTGCCTTTATTATGATAGGATAGTATAGAGTGGACAGGAAGCAAGGTTGGAGAGAGAGAGAGGGGGACGGGATCGGGAAAGGTCTGCGAGCCGGGACTCGAACTCGCGCAACGGCGCTATATGTCGACTTTAAAATGTAATTTATTCCTGTGATGGAAAAGCTTCAACAAAACAAAGCAAAACAAACACCCTGGGGACGACCAATGGAGATGGAGCTGCTGGAGATGGAGACCCAGGTGGAGCCGACGAGACAATGAGCCCACGTGACATCGCTGGCACTGGAGATCGAGGTGGAGCTGCAGCGACGAACGTCCACAGTGGAACCAGGGAGCCTGAGGACTGATGTGGAGCTGGTGGGACTAAGGATGAAGGTGGAGCCAGGGCAAAGGCGGAGCCAGATGGAGCCGAAGGTGCAGGCAGGACGACATCTGACCAAGACGGAGCTGGTGGGAAGAGGGAGCCCGGTGGAGCCGTCAGGGCGATGGTTTCTGGTGGAGCCGAGGGAAGGAGGAGCCAAGACGGAGCCGATAGGTCGACAGGCCGCAATGGGAGTGATGGGTTTGTAGGCTGGAAGCGGAGCCAGGGGAACCTCCTCACTGGTCGGAGCTGTAGAACTGAAGCACCAAGGCAGTTCCTCACAAAAAGGTGTTGGAGATGCAGAGAGGCTGAAGGGAACCAGAGGAGGTGGGGCTGAGGAACTGGCTGATTTGGGAAGAGGAGGTGGGAGAGGGAGGCTGTTAGGGATCACAGGGAGCACAGGCGCCATGGGGCTGGGCGGAACCAGCGGAGAAACAGGAGATTCAGGGCTGGGCGGGACCAGTGGGGGTGGGAGAAACAGAGAAATATCTTCCCCAGACACCTCCAAATTTCTTCCAGAGTCCATACAAGACATTATCCACAGAGGCGGGGTTGTGGGCGTGTTGTGGGCAGGGTTGTGGGCGTGCTTGTGGAGTTCAAGGGCATGCCAATTAATTGGACGACAGGTGTAATGAATCAAACAGACACATACAACTAGGTCAGCTGACAGGGCACACAGGTAAATAGGACAGAACCAAAAACACAATGAAACAAAGTAAAAACATGTTACATGATCCTTCCGAAATCATTTGAATGTGCTGATTTGGTGTTCAAGAACCATTTCTAATTATTATCAATGGTAAAAATAGTTGGGCTGTTGAGATTAATCTATTAATTGAAGGATTGTGCTGTGATGAAATCAAACAGCTCCTGTCTTCCTAGAGTATGTGCCATCACCTCTCTAGTTAGCCTGTCTTCAGCCTCAGGACACTGCCATATCTGCCTATCATAGCAGCACACATGAGTTTCTACCTGAGCTTCAGCTCATTCATTATTCATGGAGGTAATACAACTCTCTGTAGAGCTCGGCTCTATCTAATCTCTGCCATTTTCTGCTCTACTGTGGGGTGCAAAGCTGTTTAGGGAGATGTATTTTAGGTCAAATCCTCTAAGGTAATTTTGTCTAATTCGCTGTATGATACCACATGGAGAAGTAGAGGAAGGAAAGTTGGGCGAGCAGAGAATGATGAAGATATCGAATAACAAAACAAAATGGGCAAACATTTGGCAGTAACTGTGAGAAATATGTGAGTAGTGAAAGAGGAGAGAAAGAAAATGGGGTCCAAAAGTCTGCAGTCAGTAGAGAAAATGCTTCTAATTTAGCAATAAATAAATAATTAAATTTATTTATATTATAAATACATTTATATTATTGGTACAATTTTTTAAGTGAGAAGTTGACTTGAAAAAATGAATTTCATAATGTCTTAGCCTCAAGTAATAGAATGCTGCTGTCATTTAAGACATAGTGTAAAATCTGAAATATAACTCTTAATCATTTTTATTTTAATGTATTTATTTGTTCAAAAGTTCCATGTTTACAAAATCCGAAAATGTTCCGTTTACTTCCAGGTTTAAATTAGATCAACTAAACACAACCACTCACAGCTCAACACTGAAATGCTTTGGTGCCCACTGGTTTACTGAATCTCTTCTCATTTGTATGAAATATGAAAGCTGTGTTTATACAAAGAAGCTGGATCGTTATGACACAAATTCCTCATCCTCTTACATGTTATGTTCTCTCTTTTCTTCTAAAGTGATGGCTGGGCAGATCGTGATGAGGTGGTAGAAGGATATGAGCAGGAAGCAGATGGTGGGATCACAATGAAGTTGCAAACGGAAGAAGTTCAGTCATTTAATGAGTACTTTCTGAAGCTGGGTTTGGACACCAACACAAGGAACCCGTGGTTTGCTGAGTTCTGGCAGTACCGCTTCCAGTGCCGCATTCCTGGTCATCCCCAGGAGAACCATAACTTCCAGAAAATCTGCACAGGTAAACAAAGAACCAAAAGACATTCAAAAGATATCAGTATGAATATGTAAGATATCATTTGATATCTAATTAGTATATGTAAGATGTGAGTAACATTTCATATTAGGCTAAATAAATTGAAGGAGAACAAGTAAATGTGATATATTTGTATCATTTTGCTCATTCTCATAATATGTGGTCTGTTTGGCAATTGAATGAAAAAGATTTGTTATTGTGCATAACTGATGTCTGTCTGATTTAATTATTCAGTTTTCAGGAAAATATTGTGTGCATGATGACATTTTACTGAATTATGTGTATGGTAACTCTGTATATTTCCCTCCATTTCTTTCCATGTTATTATCCTCTGGTTGGCGCTTTAAAAGGTGATATAGGTAAACTGAGTTGTGCCCCCTCATCTTTTGTGCTTTTCCAATAATTTTTACCTTTGCTTGTCCACATAGAAATATAGTTTAACATTTTTTTGTTCGATACATATTACTGTATTGTTGAGAGACAGTGCTTGAGAAAACATGCTGCTTCTCCCACAGTTAATAAAAACTTTATTTTGCATAACAATAATCAGACACTAAGAACAAATATAATCTATAATGTAATTTAATCACTAGAATCCTAAATATATACTAAATATATAAGACTGTAGTAATGTCGGTTAGTTTTTGATTGCTTTAATAAGCTTAAAGTTTGTTATTGTTCTCTTCTTCTGAAAGACACTCATGGTGGTAAGTGAGAGTTGATGAGAGACATGATGTTATGATACCTGCACTGAAGAAGCACTTCACTATGGCAACAGACAGCACAATAGGTTGGACTGTGTTTGGCTTATTTGATTGGCAGAGCTATTCTCAGTTATGAAGATGATGTGCAGTTCAGAGAGGTACATCACATACAGTGAAGATGGGAAATGACAGAAATACATCAGTTAGTTTCATCATTATCATTTATTAAGCTGCTGACTCTCTGTAAAATAAACATATCCTGAACTACTACACTATGGGCATTGAGCTCCAAGTGTGCTATGATTAGTGCTAAGGCTGTTCTTTGTCTCACGTTTTATTGTTGTACCCTGACCATGCACTTGGATAGGAATCAGATTGATATTGATCTTAAACTTTTGATGAGCTGTATCTCGAGAAGACTTCAGTTTAGTCTAAAAGTCAAGCAAGGTCAGACTGTATGCTGCCAAAGCAAGATATCAGTCCAGCTCTTCTGTGCTGCTTGTAGGGTTGGCTTGATGGCACTGAGAGCACAAGAAAAGCTTGTTGCACAAGGAGAATATTCCGTCACAAAGTGTGTGTGAAACTGTGTGAATGCGCAAAAAAAGACAGTCACAGAGTAACGAGGTACCCACCCCGTCTGCATGTGTGTGAGAGTGAAGAGTTCACTTGGATGATTTATTCACTGCAAAAAATCTAAGTATTTTTGTTTTTCCTGCACAAATATCTAAACATCTTTTAAACAAAACTATTTTTCTTGAGAAGTAAAACTGGATAAATTATTAAAACTTATTTTCAGAGAATATGTGAATTTAGTTGATTTTTCTTACCTCATTGGCACATTATTTTATTGTTTATATTTATTTTCTTGTTTTAAGCAAAAATCTCAATAAATTCTGATTAATTTATGCTTAAAACAACAACAACAAAAACATTTAACTAATGGCAATGGCAGTTTTTTTTTCCAGGTGAATATATTTTGTTTTAAGGATGGCATTTTTACTGAAAAACAAGACAAAAATACTGATTAAGATTTTTTTTTTTTTTTTGCAGTGCACAACTTCCAGGAACGGCATTTAAATGAGAATTCTATTTAATGAATCTATGATTTTATTTCTTGCCTCTGATCTCTCTTGAATGTAGCACTGGAATGGCTTTTCCATCAGCTGGCTTATGAATATGGCTTTTTTCCAGTGGCTTGCCAGTGCTAAGATATGAAACTAAGTGAACGCATGAAGTTTGCCAGCCTGCCAGCAGGACTCTCCTTCCCTTTATTCACTCTTAGTGTCACTCTCTAAATGTGATCATATTTTAATATTAGGGGCATACAATTATATATAACATTAAGACAAAGTGACATTCTGCCTTTAGTCAGTCTATAATAATGAGAAAATTTGCAATTTTTTGGTTTATATTTTGACAGCACAGAGCCTCTGGCTGTACTTAGTGCTTAATTTAATTCATTATAGTGTCAGAATTTTTTATTTGTTAAATTGCAAGCAATTCCAACAGATAAACATATCAAATCCTGGATGGATGGAGGCAGAGTGGCACAAATATGAAAATAGTCCTTACTTTAATCTCACACACTTGTTTATAATCTTTCCCTGACAGGAAATGAGAGCTTGAAAGACAACTATGTCCAGGACAGCAAGATGGGCTTTGTGATCAATGCGATTTATGCAATGGCTCATGGCCTTCATGATATGCACAAAGAGCTGTGCCCAGACCACGTTGGCCTGTGTGAGGCGATGGATCCCATTGACGGCAGTAAGCTGCTGGACTATATACTCAAGACCTCCTTTGCCGGCGTGTCTGGAGAGGAAATCTACTTTGATGTAAACGGAGACTCGCCTGGGAGGTAAATGGCAAGACTAATGTGTATGTACTAGTGCTCTATTCTAAAACCTAGTAAGCTACCTGCCCCTTTAATTGCTAATAGCAAAGTGCCCTTTTTGTGCTAAAATTAAAATAACTAAATTAGAGTAAATAAAAATTGACTGTTTACCCAAAATATGTGTATTTATATGGATGTGTATGAATGTGTTTATGCAACACGTTAACCCAAACGTGCTGAAATTCTGCTGGAAAAAAAACCTAACAAACAAACAAACAAACAAACATTTAAACCAGCCTAAGCTGGTTTGCTGTTCACTGCTGACCTCCCAGCCTGGCAAAGCTGGTGTTTAGCTGATTTAACATGACGGGCAGCAGGTCCTTAAGTCTAAAAAGTGCCCAAAGCCACTGTAAAACAAGCATGTCCAGCTACCAGCTGATACCATCTTATAACTTAGAGTAAAATTGACTGTTAAACCCAATATTTTTTATGTGTATTTTTATGCTTGGAGTATCATGCTGTTAGCTTAGCAACATGCTAACATCACAAACAATTGTGTGTGGAATTGCTGCCTTTGTAGAGTGTTCCTAATCTGATATTTCAATGAGTAGAAGGCAGCTGTCTTAGTACAAAGCCAGCTCACTAGGTTTAGGAACAGATCTAGTTTAAAGTCAGCATGACAACTCATACCCGAATGGCCAGTGTAACACGGACCATTTTGAATACCCATTCTCAACTCAAGATCCACTTTCCTGAAGAGTTTAGCGCCAACCTTGATCAAACACACCTGCCTGATATAGTTATCCTGCCTTTGATATCCCACAATCCTGTGCTTTCCGTTCTGTGACAGCTGAACTAAAAAATAAGATGACATCTAAAAGTTGCGATTGGTGGTCAGTTTGTGTGTAAATGTTTTTTACCAATGTTTTCTCACTTCTGGCATGACCTCTGATGTCATTTCTAGAGAGAAATAATACTGCAGTAATTAAATATTTGCTTAGTTATCACCAAAGCTCGCTCTATTTTGCTATAGATCATTAAACCGTTACGCTGCCTCAGAAGTCTGTCTGAAAAGGTACCTCCGTGCAGAATCGCTGCCAATAAAGTCATTGTCTGATAAGAGACATTGTCCGAGGCAGCAAGTCAGCTACATTTTCGGACCCAGCCCTTGATTAGCTTGGTCAGGTGTGTTTGATTAGGTTTGGAGCTAAACTCGGCAGGAAAGTGGATCTCAAAGGCAATAGTTGCCCTGCCTTACTCTAAGGCAACAATTGATCATCACCCTCAGGTTAGATTTGGCAGCCTAACCAACACATGCAAAGAGGTGCATATCGGATGGTAATGGGCTTGGAGTGGAACAGATTGCCTGTCTCAAGGAGATGCTTCAGTCCTCTCCACTCCAATACCATGATGCGGTCAGCTCCTGTCACCCTGGCTATACATGAACAAAAGATGACAGCTCCACTGCTGCCAAGACTGCCACTGCTTTGTGTACATGTGTGCGTTTGTGAGACTTTGCCTCATCTGTAAGATAGGGAGTGTCATTAGTATGGATGAGTGGACTGAGCACTCGGGAGGGTGTGGATTCATATCCCAGGTGGAGGATGCAAAGTTGAGAGACTTGAATGTGTGAACATGGTAAAAGTGTGAACTCTGCCTCTTTCTAGTCCCGAGGCTTCAGCAACACTGAGCTACTTATTATGGAAGACTTGCTCTTTTTCTTTCTCTTTTTTTTATCTAAATCATTGCCTCTCTGACTTTTTCTTCTATCTAAGGTATGACATTATGAATCTACAGTATGTGGAGGAGATAGGTCGTTTTGATTACATTAAGGTGGGGTCGTGGCATGAAGGTCTCCTAAGCATCAGTGATGACAAACTCATGACGAACCGCACTGAGATGGTCCGATCTGTCTGCAGCGACCCATGCTCCAAGGGACAGATCAAGGTGTGTATATGTGCCATAATTATGTATGCATAGTACATAGTTTCTCCAGATGAAAGCACTTTAAAACTGAAGAGTGCAATTTTTGTTTGTTAAAATACTTTCTAAGATTCTACTTCCCTGAGTGTGTTGCTTCCCTGAGCTATCAAAACATTGTTCTGCTTGTTTGGGCTTCCCTCACCCAGGCCAATGCATCAAGATTAGTTCAACCAATGGTGTGAGTTAGGGGCGGGACTATCCATTTGATTGTCAAATGACAGGGGATGGGACATTTGTTTGAAAACAATCCTTATACAGCAATGAGATATTTCTTATTTATGGTTTCCAGTTTAAACTTGTCAATTAACACATCTGGGGTAAGACTTTGCAGTGGTTGTACACTGCAAAAAAAAAAAAAAATCCTATTTTTGATTTTGTATAATTTTCCAGTTAAAAAAAATCCAAAAATATTTTACATCAAATTTACTTGAGAAGCAACACTATGATACTTGTGTTAATGAATATCTTACATTTAAGTTTCTTTTTAAGTCTTCAGTCTCAATATTTCATGCAAGTAAATTAATATCTCAAGAAAATGTATAATGTATATTATATTTATATAAAATAAATAACTAAAATATACATTATTCAAGAAAATGTATAATGTATATTATATTTATATAAAATAAATAACTAAAATATACATCATAATAATAATTATTATGCTAATATTATGCTAATATTGAGCTAATATTTTTGATGCATTTATTCATTTAGGTTAATGTTACTTTCTATATATACTAATACCAATATACTGTAAATAAAAGTTTCCATTGTTAGTTATTGCGAGATCAATGAAGTTTTAACTTTAACTTTTAACACTCAGTGTAAGAGTTCTGGTGTTCTGATTGTAGGTTATTCGTAAAGGTGAAGTGAGTTGCTGCTGGATCTGCACTACATGTAAAGATAATGAATTCGTTCAGGATGAGTTCACCTGCAAAGCTTGTGACCTGGGCTGGTGGCCTGATGACGAACTGTCAGGTAAGAGACTTTGTTTACATATTATTCTCTCTCCCAGTTATCCACACATCTATTAAAATAGCTCTTTATTCAAATACTTAGACCACTATTTCATTGAGAATAGCTCAAACTCACAAAAAATAATTTGCTGTATTCTGGCAACGTTTATGGTTTTAAATTCTATTCGGCCCATTTATCCTGCCGGCTCTTTTCCTATCACTCTTCTCTATCCCCTTCGCATCCTACTTCCAACACCAACACTTTCTCTCCCTCTGGGCTGTGAGCCGCACGTTATTTTGACAGCTCTTTGCAGCAGCGAGCAGAGCTGGATAACGGTGAGGTTGAAATCCCATTAGTATCCAGCAGCCGTGTGTCAGGCTCAACAGTTTCACCACGGAACCTGAGCAGCAACAGGGAATTCTGATTACCAGAGAGACAGACTGATCTGAGATCGAGAAAACGCTCTGTCATAGTGAATGAGAAAGAGAGACCCTTCAGAGATGTATAGAAAGCTCTGTGTTAGGAATGCACACAGAAAAAGTGTAGCATATCCTTAAGGGTCGATGACATGACACTCTTCTATTAATTTATTAAAAAATATATTAAAAAAGTAATTACTGTTACATTACCGTTTTTTTATGTGTCTTAAAGAAAATCTAAGGCTGCATTTATTTAATAAAAAACAGTAATATTATGAAATATTACTACAATTAAAAAAAATATATTGTACAAAATTTGATTAGAATATTTTAAGATGTAATTTATTTCTGTGATGTGAAAGCAATATTTTCAGTAGCCATTACTGCATTCTTCCGTCTCAAACGATTCTTCACATTCTAATATGCTGATTTGGTGCTTATCAGTTGTGCTCCGTGATATTTTTTGGAAACCGTGATATATATTTTTTTCAGGATTCATTGATGAAAAGAACAGAAGAAAGAAAAATTCTATTTCAAATAAATACTGTTCATTTTTAACAATGTAAAAGTATTTACTGTTACTTTTGATTAATTTCAATGCATTTTTGCTGAATAAAAGAATCCATTTATTAAAATAAAATAAAAATTGGACCCCAAACTTTTGAAAGGTAGTGTACATATAACTTGAATAGACCTCTTCTATAAAGAGCATGTTTTAATTTTTAACTGTCCTGACATAAAAAGCCATTAAAATAACCGATGAAAAAATATTTAAAAAACAGTCATTTTAAATGAATAACAATGAAACGTTTCTTGAAAGTCACATCTGAGTTTTACAATATGAAACCAACATATTTTTAAACTAGATTTTTTTAAAAGATTTGTCCATTTTCTTTATAATTTATCCATTGTTATTATAACATCAAAACTCACACACATAGTAAATAAACCACATGTTAGTGATACAATCTTGGCCAAGAAGATTGGCAGATCCAGAAGTCCAATTCAGTGTGTCTCTTTGTCCTGTTCTTCATTTATTTTCCACCCATCGTGACTTCCTATCTGCTTGCTTTATTCCAGAATGCATGCCTCTCCCGCTCAAATACCTAGAGTGGAGCAGCGTGGAGTCCATCATCGCAGTGGTGTTCTCCTGCCTCGGCATCCTGGTAACGCTGTTTGTCACCTTCATCTTCATCCAGTACCGTGACACACCGGTGGTGAAGTCCTCCAGCCGTGAGCTCTGCTATATCATCCTGGCGGGCATCTTCCTTGGCTACATCTGCCCCTTCACACTCATCGCACGTCCCACTGTGTTCTCCTGCTACCTGCAGCGCCTCCTGGTGGGCTTGTCGTCCTCCATGTGCTACTCCGCCCTTGTAACCAAGACCAACCGCATTGCACGCATCCTAGCCGGCAGCAAGAAGAAAATCTGCACACGCAAGCCCCGATTCATGAGTGCCTGGGCCCAGCTGGTCATCGCCTTCATCCTGATTAGTCTCCAGCTGGCTGTGGAGGTCACGCTGATCGTGCTGGAACCCCCCGAGCCGGTGAAAAGCTACCCCAGCATCAGGGAGGTGTTCCTCATCTGTAACACAAGTAACGTGGGCGTAGTGGCTCCGCTGGGTTACAATGGCCTGCTCATCATGAGCTGCACATACTACGCCTTCAAGACCCGCAACGTGCCGGCCAACTTTAACGAAGCCAAGTACATCGCGTTCACCATGTACACCACCTGCATTATCTGGCTGGCCTTTGTTCCCATCTACTTCGGCTCCAACTACAAGATCATCACCACCTCTTTCTCTGTCAGTCTCAGTGTTACCGTAGCACTGGGCTGCATGTTCACACCCAAGATGTACATCATCATCTCCAAGCCTGAGCGCAACGTACGCAGCGCCTTCACGACCTCAGACGTGGTTCGTATGCACGTGGGCGATGGGAAGCCAGCTCCCTGCCAGAGCAACAGCATCTTCAACATGTTTCGCAAGAAGAAGAACAACAACAATGCGACCGGCAGCACCAAGTGAGTGACACCTAATAATAGGTTTGAGTCACATTTCTGAAATATCAGCTAAATGCACATACAGGCTATGAAACGTATGGAAATAAAATAATAGTATTTCTTTCTCAGTAGCACACCAACAAGTTGGACTGCAGTGATAGCACTGAAAGTGTTCTTTCTAGCATGTGTGTGTATTTGAGTTGTCTCTCCCATGTTTTTCTACCTGCTGCAAACCAAGAGTATGTACGTAGAATTTGGCTAGGGACTGACACTATCCGGTCGTCCTCTATCTGTGCTGAGTCCTCTTCCAAAAAACATAACCTAATTTTCATCAAACTACCCATTCACTTAGTCCCTCTCTCTCCTCCTCAGTATTAACCCACTTCTCAGTGTGCCTCCTCCCCCCATGTCAAACCTTCTCCTGACTAAAAATTTAACCCAGTTCTCTGAGGCTGTATCTCCCATATCCTATTCCCTTCTAATGCCCCGTTCACCCGGACAATGATTTTATCACTGGAGGTTGCTGTAATGTTTTGTGCTAGTTGACATTCTTACTGTTCGATGCCCCAAAGTTAATGGTGGGCTTTTTAAAATCTAATCACAAATGAGATGTATCACTAACAAAAATCTAAAAATAAGTAATTTTATTTTGACAAGGAATCTTGTCGAGCCGCTGCTCATTTACATAAACATACCTTTTTTTTTTAACGTTGACGCATCACTTGGTTGACGCATCACTTGGTTGTCACTGTACACACCCACATCGCATCGCCAGAGTCTATCCACTCTCATTGAAAAATTGACTTCCAGTTTGCTGCTGCAAATCACTGTCTGTGTGAACGCCCCTTGATTCTGATGCAGCTTTCAGCTCTGAGGCCTCTCTGTCCGGTTAACTTAATTACACTAAGAGCGGACAGCGAATGCCACGTTGATCTGAAACTGAGGGGAATTCCATGAAACCCTTATTCATACTGCATGACGTTCAGTTTAAGCAAATCAGTGCAGTGAAGGGATGGCAGAGAATGAGCCATCGTGGCTTTCATAATGCTCTGTAAGCAGGTCATTATGAGCATATGCAATTAGCATGTTTGAGGGAGGTCTCTGTCAGCGACTTCATGAATTAACAATGTTGAGTAACGCATCGTGTGCTAACCCTAATCATGAGTTTTATGGCTGATAATTGTATCAATTGTATGAATGATGACATGCATAATGATCATATTTCTGTCATGTTCTTCTCTGTCTCTGTGTCGCATTCTGGTTTTTCTCTATGGTAATAACATTGGGTCTCTGTTTCATTCATAGTCCTAATGGAAAGTCTGTGTCATGGTCTGAATCAGGTGCCAGACCCCAGGGGAGGGGGTCGAGTGTGTTCCACAGACTGTCTGTGCATGTGAGGAGGCAGGCGGTCGGCCAGAGTCAGATGGCGGTCATTCGACCCCTAACTAATGCCTCACAACCCCCCCAGTCTGAATATGATGCTGGTCTCAACACAGCCCCCAATGGCTCTCACCCCGAAGACAAGGAACTCTACAATCTCAACGAGGGGCACGATGTGGGTCCCCAACATCCCACAACCCAGGAGGGAGTGGTACAACCTTCCTATTCCCCCCCTAATTTAATAGACCACAGCACTGATTGTCCTCAAGGGGGGCCGGTGGACACTCTGAGCTCTACAGTTCCTAATTTTGAGCAATTTGTAATTGGCACGGGCAACAAGTCAAGCCCCATCGCCTATAAATTGTCCACCAATCAGCTGCCTCTTCCCTTGCAGGGGGAGGCGTTCCCTGTGGAAGGTTCTGAAATGGAAGCTCTTGACCTCATTCAGGGGTTTCTGTGTGAGAGTGCCACACAAGAGGAGGAGGAAGAGGAAGGTGTGGAGGAAGAGTTGGCACAGAGTAAGCTGACTCTGCTCACTCCACCTTCCCCCTTCAGGGATTCGCTTCGGTCAGGGGGGTCCATTCCCGGATCCCCCGGCTCTGATAACAACCCTCCCTTTTCCCTAAATATGAACTACACCCCAAAACAGAGCTCTTTTACACTGTAGAAGCACACGCTCAGGATGCCGCTGTTTATAATCGATTACTGCAGGATATAATTTGCTTGCTTACTCGGCTATCTTCGTAAGTCTTTGTCAAAATGTTTCGGAAAAGCAAGAAGGACCATACAATTAACAAGTGGGACATCCTGTTGGGAATATTTTTCTCTAAGGCAGCGCTGGCAGCATCCGTTTTCCAAAATGCTGCTGAAAGTTGGAGTGCCAAATATTATTGTGTTGCTGTGCCCGAAATCCGCTGGCAAATGACATCACAACAGTCCAGGAGTGATAATGCCAGCTTGCTGCTTTACTATTACACTCTTAGCAGGACGAGACACACTTTCTGGGATTTTGTGCTTTTGAACAATGTAGCTGGACTTGGTTCTGATTAAAAAGTTTACTTACCATTACTAACAAAAAGTTAATGATGGAAAAATGAGGGTTTGTGGATGTAGACAGCACTGAGACATAAATACAACACATGCATACAGGTAAACCACACTTCTAGTATAAGGCTGCTGTGTGCTTTTAGTATCTGATTTCCATTTTTAAACAGTTTTCAGTAACTGTGGACAAGTCAGAGTGAAACAATGAAACCATGTGTGCACAATAACCCTCACTTGGTTGACTTGATGAGTAAACATGGAGTTTCCCAGCTAAGGTATTATTTTCCAATCTCCTTGTGGCTCCCAAATGTAAGTTACAGTGCTTTTGCTTAGAGTCAAAGGCAAGAATGCTGATTGTAATGTTAGATATAGAATACTATTTAGCTTAAATGTGGAGCCAAGGTAAATAAAAGAAACCGTGTCATGTGTGAACTCATCCTTGAAAATGGGAGCAAACATTTGTATACTGTTCTGCCATCTATCGTTTTCCACACAGATGGTGTCTTTGTATTTCTGCTATATGTTTCTATGATTAGAATGTGAGATATTTGTAAGTTTTAAAAACAATGTCTTATAACTTGCTCTTTGTGATAAAGGGATGTATATGGTGGCACTGAAGCTGGACTAACTTTTCAGCAACTTTTACAAACTTTTAAATGTTCCATTTTTAAATTGTATTTATGAGTAGTTGCTTCTAGTGGTAACTTGTAGCATTTACTGCCAATTTTGCGTAGGATTATCACATGAATTTGCGACTGTAACGCTTTAAGTTTAACAGGACTATTAGGTTGCAACTCTCAAAAGAACAATATTCTTGAATATCTTACATATTGTAAATGTTAAAATGGATTGTAATATTAGGTCTTTTAGTGTAAGTTGTTTGGAACAGAATAATTTGCTCAATGTAATTGACAGATCACCTGTTTACATGGTTAAATGAGGGAAATGCTCTTTTTGCCAGGACAAATCATGCTGTAAAATAAATATTTTATATCTAATGCTGTCTTTAGTTTATTCACCACATTTTCAGTGTAAGACAGAGCTTGGCGCTTATTTGGATTCAGAATTATATACACTTTGTTTTATGAATTGCAAATACAAGTGGTAATTTTAATACACTATTAAGAATTGAGGATCAGTTTAGTATCCATTTAGTTATGACATGGTAGGCTATCATTATCTTTAATATCTCTGAAATTGGATTTTAATGTGTTCTTTATTTCATAAGGCAACATTTTCTAACCCCACATATACCACAAATGCGGTGTATTTAATGCAGTCTAAATTATCTTATTTTTAATTTCTGTCTGCTTTTGATCACACCAAATGTGCTGTTACGAAATCTTTTCAATCGAGAACTGCACGTTAAAATCCAACCACTTTTATTTAAACTTCCACAACTCACCTGACTACAGCACATGAGTGTGCGTGTTCTTTATTTCTTTGACCCTAAAGGCGAGCCCAAGCCGATGAAAAGCAAAGCAATCCAATCGAGGCGTGATATTTCCGGGTCCTATGACTTATCAGGTGGTTGTCCGGTGGGAGGAGAGGGAGTGTGTGCTAGTAGTGCTTTCTGTTTGAATACTTTCCTTACTCTAGTCCCCGAACCCAAAGCACTTCTCCAAACTGTCTGAGGGAGTAGAGGGGAAGTGGTTGTTCAAAATTGCCAAAACTTTCCTCTCTCATAACTGACATTTGGCAGCATGGCAGGCGGATCTGTGTCGGAGTGTAAGGAGTACTTGTTTAAAGTTTTGGTGATCGGGGAACTTGGTGTGGGTAAGACGAGCATCATCAAACGATACGTGCATCAACTCTTCTCGCAACACTACAGAGCGACCATAGGCGTGGATTTTGCACTTAAAGTCCTCCACTGGGACAGCAAAACACTAGTGCGGCTACAGCTATGGGACATCGCAGGTAAGGTTAGACTTTTAAACGAAAATGTCTTAAACTAACTTTTTAATTAAAAATCACCAGATGCCGTACAGAGTGTTTTGTATATGATTCCCCTATACAGCCTCTCGACATTAAATAATTAAGCACATGACTCTTGATGTAATGCTGAGCTTGAGAGACTAATGATGGAAAGTCCTACTACATTCCGAGATACGGGTTTGAACCGTTCGTTTCGAATCGTAATCGTAGCCTACTCAGATTGAACTTTTAATGACAGTATGACGTAATTGCGTCATCGCGTGGTCCACTCATAGGGCTACATGCATGCAATAAACTAGTCTGTTCCAATACAACTGATAAATAATAGGCTAAGTAATAATAAAGTCAATAGCACAGTTTGATAATTACATTTTTAATTTCAGTTTATAACGTTTTATGTTTTATTTAAAAGATACTTGTGCAATTTCATGTAGGCTATCCTAATTACGTAGGGATTTAACCTAAATAATTTGCAGCCTACATTAAACTCAACGTTTTACATGCCTCGGTTGATGAGTTAAATTAAACATTTCTTTTCTATGTGAAGGCTATTGATACAACTGTCAATCAGTTTTACTCCAAATGTAGGCCTACACACTCGTCGTTTACTCGAATCATTACGAGTCGTAGGCTACGTGTTCGATAGATGTTCTCCGTTCAGGATCGTTTTGTGAACCGGTTCAATTGTATCATTGAAAAGATCCGACTCTAAACGATTTGGTAATAATCGCTTGAGACACTGATCCTAGATATGATCACGGTTACCACACGCATCCCAACGCTACTGTAAGTGAAACATTGTATGACCTTTGGCAATATGATCGTTGAATAAACGCCAAAATTCTGTTTGGAAAGAAGGTGCTAAACTTTCTGAAAGCCCAGGATAAGTGCGAGCTCTAGCTTACTGTGACCACGTTTGAGTAGCGAACATAATTACTAACGTAATGTAGGTCATGTTGTGAGACTAGAGAGAAGGGAGGGGAGCGATATGCTTCATGCCATTATTGTGTGTCACATGATCCGGACAGGAACGTGCCTAAAAATGTTGAGAAGGAGCTCTGTGCGTGACTTCATTACCCCACATGTGTTATCTTATGTTGTTTCTGTGGCAAAACAGTCCCACAGTACCAGTGTTGTGTAACCTAACATGCTTTGCTGAAAAGGGAAGTGAAATCACGTATCAACCGCCGAAACCTTGACAAGCAAACAAGTCATACAATTTTCTTTCTTTCTTTCTTTCTTTCTTTCTTTCTTTCTTTCTTTCTTTCTTTCTTTCTTTCTTTCTTTCTTTCTTTCTTTCTTTCTTTCTTTCTTTCTTTCTTTCTTTCTTTCTTCCCCATATGACATGGCAGATAATGAGGGAGAATAGTAGCCTAACTACTTTATTTCAGTTGCTTATAAAATCACTTTCAACAGTTTGCCTGGTGCTCCACAGAAGGGGAAAGAAACAACACAGCTCTTCTAACGCTGCTCATGACCTTTGTATGCACGTTACACACATCTGCAAGTCTGTGATATACCATCCATAATAGGCTATTCTGTTGTTCTCTGATTATATGTTCTAGTATTCTATTAAATAATAACTAAAGATAAAAATAATAAATAAACATTAAAACACTAAAAAATAAATTTTTAGTTTTCTTATGTCTCATTCGGACTACAGAACGCGACCCGATCTGGCAATCATACAAAGCGTGGATATCACAAAGCGGTGCCCAACTCCTAAACTTCAATTTGGTGCAGATATTGTGTTTAACTTTTTATTAATCATTTATTAAAATAAAATAAATGTAATTTAAAATAAATAACAGGCTACCTTTATATAAATGCATATACAAATCTGTTGTCACATATAAATCCCAATAATATGTCTTAGTAAGATGATATTAAATGCTTGGTTAGCTCTGTTGTTTTAATTTGCTTCAGTCCAGTAAATGTTCATGTTGAAATATTAATAATGGAATAATAGTGGAAGTCATATTGAAGATTGTGTACAACAGGTTTTTCAGCAAAGTTTAGAGTTCAGCTAATTTAGAGGCCTTAGAAATTTAGACTTTATAGAGTTAATTTATATATGCTTCAGAATTCAGAATGACTCAGCATTTTCACACTATAGTGCTCCTGAGACATTCGAGAGCTGGAAGGTGAGCTGTCTGTAATCTGTTCACACTCTCTCTCTTCCTATTAGAGGAAGACCCACACTGCAATATATTTCCCCAAAGACAGATTATGCCTTTCCACTGCAGTATTCCTCGAACACAATAGGACCATGGAGGCATGTTTAATTCAATATACTGTACCAACTGTCCACAGCAAACAAATGGACAACTGCAGTTTTTAATTTAATTTCAGTGTCATGTGCGTCAGCATCCTGTGAAATTGAATCGTGAGGATTTAGGCTGGGATGGTTTATGTGCATTTATGTCTATAAGTCTACATATAACGAGACGGGCATAAACAACTTTATCGCTTATCTGCTTTGCACCTTAAACTCTGCACTCTGGCATGAGACATGTATTTTCAGATTGTTTGAGACTTAACTATATAACTTCTGTTAAAATATATCTCTGATGTTCTGAGGTGCTCTTTGTACCCACGTTTCTTTAATAGGATGTCATGAATGTGAGTTTGATATAACTTATATAATATATATTGTTACTGGGACACACAATCCAGAGCCAAAACATCTGATCGTGGTTATACCTGGGACATTGAGAAGATTATGTGTTATGTGTTGAATTGATTGATTAGTTAAATTTAGGGTACGTTTACATGAGAACGATATGCTTTTAATGGAGAAGCTTTTCCTTTGAGTTATCCGCGTACAGACGACACTATTGCCAAACGATCCCCATTCACATGGATAAAAACGCTGTATTCTGCTGGCAGGCCATTAGATGGCGATGAAACACTATAGATTTAACACGTATTTTTGTTGTTAACACGGAACCCGTTTTCAAAAGTTTGCGTTTTCAGGCACCCAAAACACAGATGTCAAATAGGGCCTAAACGAATGGCCAAAATACATAAAAAGTTTTACGTTTTTAGTTGAAAACGGTGTCCTGTAAAGACACCCAGATTTTTGGGTGGCTGAAAACGCAAAGGTTTGAAAAGGGGTTTCAAAGTGCAAGTTTTTGAAAACAGTCTCTGTGTAAACAACAAAAACGTGTATCTCTGAAGACTATGACATCATGCACATGCGTACGTGTTCAGTCTAGTGTTTCATCGCCATCTAATGGCCTGGCAGCAGAATACAGGGTTTTTGGTCGTTTTCGCGGATCCGTGTGAATGGGAATCATTTTGACAATGGTGTTTTGACAAAGGAAAACTTCTCCGTTTTAAATATATCGTTGTCGTGTAAATGTAGTATTATGAAACTGAGGCCTCTGAGGTTTGTTTAACTTGTTGTCTTAGAATTTCAGGCAAAATACATTGAAAGACATTGTAAATGGCTCCTTCACACAGAATGCGTTTTTGCTTTGAAAACCGTGAGACTGGGCAGTGGAATGGGGAAAAAACGCAAGGTCTTGGGGCGCGTTTTTTAAAAGTTGAACTGATTTTAACTTTAGCGCCGTGTTTCTGTCATGACATGCGCGAGATGCTGCAAAAGACTCGAACGCAACGGTTATACACGTCCGTCTAGAGCGTGTTTACATAGAAAAAAAAAATGGTAAAGTAGGAGTGGAAAAACAGGTTGTGAAGGCTTTTTTTTTTTCTAGAAAAATTATAGCTCATGAGGAAGTTTCAAAGAAAAATTTATTGTAAAATTATCCAGACATTCCAGTTGTTTACTAAGCATTTGGACATTTTGAGAACAAATTCAAAAGGCAATTGACTTTATGCACAGCTGCACTACTTCCTGAACTTAAGCCAGCTCCTTTATTTCCTGTCTTACATTATTGGACACACGGATTAATTCAGGTGTGCCTGACCTCAGTAGTCATAGCAACAATAATCAGACACACCTGGATTAATCAGTGTGTCCAATAATGTAAGACAGGAAATAAAGGAGCTGGCTTAAGTTCAGGAAGTAGTGCAGCTGTGCATAAAGTCAATTATGAACAAATGTGGGAGGGGGGATGGGGGCACAAGGTAACAACACAAGTTCTTTTACAGGAAGAACTGAATTCATGAGATTAGGTATATTGTATGTCAAATAAAAATTTATATTTATAAATTTATATTATAGCAAATAAACAGTGTCTCCATCCAAATTTTGGTTTTAGCCTTTAAAAGCTGTTTTTTGGGGATTGAGTGGCAGTTTCATCAGCTGTGGATTGTCCTTCATTTAGACCCCAGTGTTCTTTCAAACCAGATTTTATGTTCCCATCTTCCTTCATTGCTTTCTCACTCAGCCTTTTATTCTCTCACTGCAGCCATGGTTGTCACAGTGAGCTGCAAGGACAACGTCAGTGATGTGTGAATTACACAGGTTGCATTCTTTCAGTCTGTGTGTGGGTGCATGTTTGAATGTGTCTGGAGAACAGCTGGAATATATACGGTACTCTGTGGCGCACAAGGATGTGAGTGATTGTTCACTGTGACATCCTGGCCCAGTTCCCGAAGCCAGTCCAGACCTGTATCATCCTGGATAAAGTTGATCAAAGTCTGTCCCATTTACGCATTTACTTCTACACTGCTAATTTACCCTGTTAATCATGCGCATAATTGGTAGCTCAGTGGTACTAATCAAGTACGCTGCTTTTCCATATCCACACCGAGTAGCGATTACGATAATGACCCTGAATTGGATGACTGTAATCAAGGCCTTCTGCAAATACGTATGTGTCGGACCCTGACTGAAGCCAGGGGCTCACCCGCCTACCTTGGCCCAGAATAGCAGTGCTCCACTGAGGCTGTCTGAAAGGGACATGCTTATTACAGACAAGGAGTTTTAAAGAAAAGTCTTAACCTTGAGCCAGGGATTGGGATGACATGTTAGAAAAGCAGTGTGTTTCATTCATTCATGTCTGACTGACATT